TAACTCCCCCCATATGTTCATACTCAAGGTATATACGTTCCAAGAGTTTTGGTGTGTAATCTCTTTCACTTTACGTTATTTTACATATTATTATACTTGGTGATGACTCTCAAACTGTTACATAATCAAACATTACACCTCATTCGAGCAATCAAACATACCAATTTAATTCTTGAATAATTAGTGACCACATAAATTTAATAGTTAAATCCTTTTTAATCTACCTCGGTGTCAAAGACACCTTAAGCGCATAATGCGCCGCAAATCCTATCCCTCGGTGTTAGAAACACCTTAAGTGCACATAAGCACTGCAATAAAATTTATTCCTGTGTACTAAGACACTTATTAGCTCAATTCCCATGCTTAAAGCATCAATAAAAAATTATATGAACCATAATAAAATCCCTTTTCAATATTCCAAACCAAATTAAACTCTTAATTTAATTAAACATGTTCTCTATCATGCCAATAATAAAAGTGTGGTCATATCCAACATGCCAATATAATTAATTCCAATCACCAATTCACCACAAATAATTTATACATCACAATTCAATCACCAACATCAATCCAAATCAACAATTCCAACCAAAACCTGTCATGATACTACTTGGAATTAATTTAAACAAAGCTTAGCATGCTTCTACAGATTCAAATAATTACTAAGTACGCGAACGTACCTTTAATATGATCTCAAAATCACCACGACTAAATAAAATCACTCACTTGAAAGTCTCCTACAAACCAAAAATAAAGAAGTATTAATACCTCTTCCACACAAATTTCCAGTAATATATACTTTCTTTAAATCACTCATAAACCCTCTAAAATAATCTGAAATTTAATTTAAAACCCTTACTTTTATTCCCAATTAATGGGTAATTAAAAATCCTTTCATGAAACATAATTATAGCTTATATATAAAAATTTCAGCTTTATTAAAACTTATTTGGGGCTTTTTAATTCAAAATTAAATCTGAAAATTTATATACAAAATACTTATTATTAAACATCCTAAAATCATCACAAAACCCAAAAACAATAATTAGATTAAGGTAGATTTAAATATTTTATAACACACACACACAAGGGGAGAATAGGGGGTGGCTGGCGCCACCACCCACGGCTGCTGCTACTGCCGGCCCTGTGCTAGCAGTGGTGGCAGCCGGCCACCGTGCGATGGTGTGCGGTGGTGGTGGTTAAAATAAAATAAAATAAATAAAGGGAAAGGGGAAAAATTAAGGGGAAAAGAAAATAAGAGGAGAGCGAGAGAGAGAGAGAGAGAGAGCGAGAGAGTTTACCTTTGGGTGCACTCCACCTTAGGCATATGATCGGTATTTATACCCCCTCTCAAAATCCCTCTGCTTAAAATTTTTTTACTACCCTTAATGATCCCTTTCCTAGTTAAACTAGTATTTTGACTTTCCTTAAATAACATTGACTTTAAAAATTATTTTTTTATAAAATAATATGCCCCAATATTTCCAAATCATAAAATAAAATATTTTCAAGATTATTAAATAATTAAAATAAACTTTTTAATTAAAAATAATTCTTTTTAAATTAATAAAAACCATAAATAATTCATTTAGAATTATTTAAATACTTTAAGAAATACTTATTTAAATTAAAATACGCATAAAAATACGGGGTATTACAATTGACCGATGTAATATTAGATGGAGATGCACTTCATATTAGATGCATTTGTCATGTTCTAAACTTGTGTGTGAAGGATGGAACCCAAGCAATTGGTCCATTTTATCACAAAATTAGAAATGCTATTATGTCTATTAACATCTCTAACATGAGATTTCAGGAATGGAAAGCTTTTTGCAGGCAACAAAGGATAAAGGGTAATAAAATCAAAACGGATTGTGCAACTAGGTGGAACTCCACCTATGAAATGTTGAGTATGACAATCGAGTACAAGGGTCCATTAACAATTTTTTATAATAAAAAATTTTCACAATTTGCTTTAGTAAATGATGATTGGTCTAACTGTGAAAAATATATGCAGTTTTTACAATTATTATATAGTATGACACATAGTTTTTCTTTTGTTTATAATCCTTTTGCTCATTCTTTTCTTAGCAATGCATGTTTACTTGCACAACTTTTTTATGAACACCGATCACAACACGATTATGATGGATATCTTCCATCAATGGAGGAAAAATGGCGTAAATATTACAGTACTCTTCCTATGGTTTATATTTTTGCTTCTATATTAGATCCAAGACGAAAGTATGATGACACATTTTTATTAATTGATATTTATTTTCAATGCATGAAATTTGAAGATGATATTGAATCTTATAAACTAATGTGACCAATCAATTTTTTTTCCTTAGATAGAGTTTATGAATCTAAATATGGAACCGTGTCTCAATTTGCTCCTTCTCAATCATCCAAAAATGTAAGTAAAAGGGCCAAAAGTATATTTGCACAAGCTGGTAACATGATCTAAGTTTCCAGGTAGTAAACATCATCTAGGAGAACACAAGCGATGTTTCGGAGTTGCAAATGTACTTAAGTTACGACTTCATGATTGGCATGGATGACCAAGAGAAGTACGGTCTCGACATCCTTGATTGGTGGAAATCACAAAGCACGAAACATCTAATTTTGGCGGCAATGGCTTGTGATATTTTTGCTATCCAAGAGTCTCCTCCGTTGCCTCCAAAAGTGCTTTTAGTGCTTCAGCAAGGGTTTTAGACGATAGAAGAACAAGTCTAAAACCCGAAACACTTGTTATGCACAAAACGACGACGATGAAAGAACGTCGGGTCTACCAGTTCCCAATCAATTCAATTGGCCGATGAACTTGCATGAACAAGAAGAAGAAGACGAACAAGAAGAAGAATTAGATTACATACTATTAATTATAGCTATTATTTGTATTATCGAACCCCGTATAATAAAATAAGCAATAAAGTTAAGTTATTCATCAATTATTGTATGATTTTTATCATTATCAATTATTATATTATTGATTTATCGTACAGACGTATAATAAAATAAGTTATTCATCAATTCTTGTGTTATCGCAATAGTCAATTTTTTAATTATATGCATTGTTATTTTTTGCTAAATAATAATGAAGATGTATAATAATAAAAAATAAAATTAATTATAATATATTAATAATAAAAATAACATAAATAATAATAAATAAGTAAAAGAACTAAAATAATAAAAATAAGAAAAATATAAAGAACAATAATAATAAAAAACATAAATTAATAAAATATTTAAATATATCGATTTAAAAAAAAAAGTAGGCGGTCCACTGTCCGACCCGGCCCAGCACGCCAGGCACGTGGGCTGGGGTGTGCCAAATGGTGGCCCGACACAGCTTGACACAAGCCACCACCAGGTACGGCCCGCGGCGGCCCGGCAAGGCCCATGCCCACCTCTACCTAGCCATAACTTTATAAAAGTAATTTCATGAACAAGTCAAACTAACAGTGACATAATTTAAGGTTCATAGCTTGGAAAGTTGGAATGGGTAATGCTTACAAGTTACAATTAAGTTACGCACACTTGATTTGAATTCTGTTGAAGCGTTTATTACTACCGTGTTTCCTACTGGGTATTTCAAAAAGGAAACACGGTACACTCTATGCTTATAACTAATCTAACTATTGACAACTAGTCGTGGTTGAGACTTCATCAAAAAAATAAATAGAAATAATTACGTAATTTTTCAATATTGAAAGAAATATACTTCATATATATGAATCATTCTATTTTATAAGCTTGAAGATATACAAGTACATATACAATTCCCAATTTTTTTTTTTTTATTTTTTTTTTCAGGGAGGCTTGCATGTGATCCAATTCTCAATTTACACAAAATTGAATAGCAATTATATTTCATATTGCCCTTGATGATTTTATTTTAGAAATGACTTAATGATAAATTAACAATTTTCATTTTTCTTATTGTTAGATTATGTGAAACTCCTCAAATTGGGGTCGGGTATACAATAAGTACACAATGTATAGAAAAATTATATACTTCCTCCGTTTTTAAATACTTGCTTCACTTTTTATTTCTGGCTGTTTTTAAATACTTGCTATATTTCCTTATTTGGAAAGTTTTTACAATATTTAATTCCTTTCTCTCAACTAGTGGACCCAACATAAATCATATTTTATTAATTTCATATTCTCCCTCCTCCTATTCTCTCAATTACTTTTGCTTTTAACATTTTTATTCTTCCATCTACCCCATTACCTCTATATTTTATTATTTTCTCTAATTTCTCCTAAAACTCCGCGCATAGGAGAAATGAAACAAGTATTTAAAAACGGAGGAAGTACTAAATTTATGACAAATATAATCATAATATAATATCTGTTGCACTCCCGCAGTTATAGCGGGAGAGGAGGACATACGCTAAGACTTGAATTTTTTTTGCCCTCTCTCTTCATATTTATTATCAATGATAATTGCCTATGATATCGGAAAATCTTAGATGTACTTTAATTTGTCAATCCACACCTATTTTATTGGTGCAAATTAATTTACGTAGTTATTTTCAATCCCATGAATTTATTAGTGATATATAGTGTTTCTGTTAGCACCAGATATATAGATAATTAGATAATATATCATGTAAATGTAATAGCATGCAGTAACAAAATACAAGTAGTGATTTGATTTTTGTAAGTAACTTATCTCATGCAAGCTAATCAAATTGATGGCCCCAAAAAAATGAATGCACATACATTGTCTACAAGTCACTCTTCAGGAAAACACAGTAAACATCGTTGAATAGTAAGATTATCACAAATTAACGTATGTAGGATTGTATGAACATATACAAATAAAATTGACATGTTGGTCGTAAATTAACGTATAAACATACACTTGCAAAGCATTAAATTTTATAGCTAGCTTCCCAACTTCCTTTTATAAATGCTTGAAAATTACATTATTATATCTTGTCATTTGTTACTGGTCAACACTCTATATAAAGCACCCAAATATAGTAGCTATGATCATCGTAGTATATCGTAACATTCTCAAAGTTGTTACATATATACTACTACACATATATCTACACTTGATTTTCATATTCACATAAATTATAGTATTTCGATCAATTCAAATCTTTTGCTTTATTTTCAATCTTTTAATATTGATTAGTAGGTATGGACTACGTGATTAGGAAGAGAACGACAAAGATAAACCGAAATGGGGTAATTAGACCCTTACAGCTTGATTGTAATGGAGGATTAAAGGTGTTAGAGGGGGAGAGGATGGAGCTACTTAGTCCTGCATCAGTCGCGTTTCATAAGCCAGACTTCAATATACATGTAATGGCTATTTTCGGTATCAAAACTCCTGTTGATATTAAGCTTTTGAAGGCTAAATTTCCAACATCCCTTTGCAAGCACCCTCGTTTTTCTAGTGTTGTGGTATGTAAATCATGTTTAAATTTTTCCCTTGTTAATTATACTTCTAAATTACTATTGCATGCAATACTACTTAATTTACTTTTGTATGGTTTTTTACTCAACACAATTTCACTGCAGTGTTTTTGTTGATTGAAACTCTTATTATTTTCTCTCGATGCAAGTGTTTGATTAGGATACTTATAATGTTACTTAATGACTTTAATTTTATGACGAAATTATCCTTTGTATATATATTAAAATAATATACTATGTATATGTGAGTTTAAAAAAAAAAAAAAAAAAAAAAAAGACAATCTAAGTTAAATAAGACTAGGATGTATTGTCTTATTAGATCAAACCGTACCTATATAAAATCATACTAGAAAACCTTAATTAGGGTTAAGATCGATGGCAAATTTTTACGAAGGGGAAACTAGATATATTAGCACAAAAGCAAAAACGACCTAGGCGTGAGTATGTATATTATTATGAAGTAAAATTTAAAATGACTTAATATTTATGTATGAAAGTTAATACTCCGTATCTACTAGCTACTTGTTTAGGTTAATAAATATTGAGACGCTAACTGTTAGGCATTAATAAATTGAGTGAGATGGATTTGACACATCCAATGAAAAATATGAGGTAGTGTTAAAGCAACGCAAATTTAATGTTCTTTATTTTATTTTTATTTTCTGTAATATACATAATAAAAATACCAATATACGTACCATTCACCGTTACTGAATTAATTAGTGTTACGTACTAAATTTAAATAATCTTATTTACTATAATAAATGAATAAATAACACTATTACTAAAACCTTGTTCTAATTTATACAGGAAGGAGATCCATCTAAGGGAGAAGAATTGAAATGGGTAAGAACAGAAATAAACTTAGACAAGCACATTATAGCTCCAAAAATAAACTCCGAAGACATAGAGTCACCAAATAAGTTTGTTGAAGACTACATATACAACCTTAGTAAAACAACCTTAGACAAATCAAGGCCACTTTGGGATATCCATGTACTCAATCTTAAACTCTCCGAGGAAGTCGAGGCCATAACAATAACTCGGATTCATCATTCACTCGGCGATGGCACATCTTTGATCTCTTTGTTGTTGGCACTCACACGTAAGACCTCCGATCCTGAGGCCTTGCCAACCATTCCTGCTCCAAAGATGCGCGATGGTAGTGATAAAAAATGGAAGGGGTGTTTTTGGAGATGGATTTCGGCCTTATGGTTGGTCCTAAAGTTGTTTTGGAACACTTCAATGGATATATTGATGTTTGTAGCAACTACGTTGTTTTTGAAGGATAATTCTCCATTTAAGAGTTCTCCAAGTGGAGGAAATGCTTCTAGGCGTGTTGTTTACAAGATTTTTAGTCTTCAAGATATGAAATTCGTGAAGAATGCAATTGGTGCGGTAAGTTTATTTCTTGTTACTTAACTCTATATATCTATATATTATCCATAAGACCTTTTTCAATTCACCTAATCAATAATTCATTTTAATGGGAATAATTGGTTTATACATCGTAATAACTTATTTTACTAATCAAAATGATTAACGATTCAAATTTAATGATGATTCCCTAGTATTTTTTGTTATACATAATTGATAAATTTTTAATACAAAATTGTTTTAATTGTTGTTCAAAGCTTATTTATTTATTCATTTATTTATTTATTTTAATTAAATAGCTAGTATTAATGTTAAATTAACAATACATCACTATATTTGATCAATTTTGATTGGCTTAATTTTTAGAGATTAAAACCAATACGCATTATAAATTTATAATTTTATACTTGGTTTAAATTTAAAGTGTTTATATTAACCTTAAAGCTAACTGATGTGATGTATACTATATTGGGATGTACAGACCATCAATGATGTTGCACTTGGAATCACTCAAGCTGGTTTATCTCGCTATCTTAGTAGGAAATACGGTAATCCTTTTGCCTTCTCGTAAACTCATCTAGTACTCAATCAATTAACATTAGTCTTCACATTTCTGCATTAATTCCCATTATTACAGAAAATGAAGGAAACAATAATGAAGCTGCGAGAGAGAAAACAAAAAAATATCTCAACAATATTCGTCTTAGATCGGTTCTTCTAGTCAATATTCGACCCTCTGGAGGAATTCAGGTAACGCTCTCAACTAATTACAATAATTAACTAGGTTAATGTCTACTGATATATGAGCGGTTGGTATTTGAGGCCACTAACATCGCGGTTTCTTGTAGTGTACGTACTGTAACACAATAATTCATACTCCCTCTGTCCCTTATTTTTTGCTCTATCTGACTTTTTACGGTCTTCAAGATACGTCTTTAAACGCATATATCTCCATTTCTATATGCGTAAAAATTATTACGTAGTATTTGATATTAATAAATTATATAATGAGACAGTTTTAATTAGATCCCACGTGAATATATTATCACTTATAGATTAACGAGAATTCATGGTCAAAGTTTTAAAAGTTTGACCCATAATTTTGCAATGGGGCAAAAATTAAGGGACGGAGGGAGAATATAATACCGTATTGTCCGTATATATATGTGATTAATCTGATTATGACATGTAATAATTAACATTAATGATAGGATTTGGCTGATATGATGGAGAAAGATGCAGAAGCTAAATGGGGAAATGCAGTAGGTTACGTGCTTCTTCCGTTTGCCCTTGGATTGCATGATGATCCTTTAGACTACATTCGAACTGCCAAAACCACCGTTGATAAAAAGAAGCATTCCTTAGAAGCCATTTACACTTTTTTCATGGCTGAAGTTGTTATGAAATTTTTTGGTTCCAAGGTATTTATTCTTATACATACACCTTGCAAAAGTCCTTTCTTTCTAGGTTACGGCACCATCACATGACAATGTTACCCTCTTAAAAAATATAATAATCCGGCATAATACGTACTATATATATTTTGCAGGTTGCAAGTGTTATATCTGATAGAATCAACGCGCATACAACAATCGCTTTCTCGAATCTACCTGGACCTTTGGAGGAGATAGGCTTCTATGGCCTTCCATTGACTTTTCTTGCTCCAACTTCCTATGGTCAACCACATGTACGTTTCCAACTTGCAGCCTAAATGTGAAAATTGATTTTGACACACCAAATATTGATTTTGGCACACCTTTCTGTAAGAAGAATATAGAAAAATGTGCTTTCACAATGAGTGCGCCAAAATCAATATTTGGTGTGTCAAGATCATTATCCCCTAAATGTACACTCTTTTTCTTAGGAAATTAAAATTAATTGAAAGCAAGTCACTCCCTTCGTCCAAAATTAATTATTAACTAGGCTCAGATCAGAAATATTTTTAGTTCGAAAAAAATAATATCATGTCTTTTTACTTGAAATGATTAATACAATTAAGGAAGAGGTTTATGAAAATTAATTTAGACGGAGGGATTATATTGCACAAGATCTCATAAATACTTCCTAGCAATCTTCAAATCTCATGTTAATTAGTTACTAATAACAATCTTCATTGTTTTATATGATGTTAATTAACTGACAAAAGATGATTATATTCTACAGCCTGTGATGATAAACTTCCTAAGTTATAGTAACAAGATGACAATAGTTCTAGCCGTAGATGAACACACGGTTCCGGATCCTCATCAATTGTGTGATGACATTGTTGAATCTCTCAAGCTAATCAAGGATGCTGTTATAACACAAGGCCTTGTCAAACAAGATGACTCTGGGATGGTACAAGGCTGTCCACCTTCGCAACAGTCATAGTGTCACGGTCCGAGTGTACGGTACCATCTCCACCGTCAAGAACCACCAATGCAACCTCCACCACCACCACCACTGTACCACCGCGACTTTTTTTGTTGTATATATATACCTATACTATATTCCACTATGAGAGTGAGGGATAGCTCAAGTGGTTAGAACTTCCCTCTTGATTTCAGGAGATTTTGGGAACGATTCTCATCCTCGCCCTTGTGGCTCACTAAACACCCAAAAAAAAAAAAAATTCCAAAATAGGTTTTAAGAATATATTAATGTACCATACTAAGAAAAATATTACTGTCGTGCATAGGTATTTAACGTACAAGTATATATGTACCACCCTATCCATCCATATACCTAAAATTGGACGCGTAATATTATCTAGCTGCTGAGGATGAACAAATATTTATCCCAAAATAAAGCATAATGCATTATATGAATGTACTACGTAATATACTTCCTCTATTCCGTTTTAATTGTAACAATTTGACTTAAAAGGTCAGCTTTTTGATTAAAGCGTTGTAATTAAAAGTGAATGGAAGAAGTATATATGTATATATAGATTTCTCTTTGGTGGATAGACCAAGACACCCGGTCAAATCTTGTTTGTAAATGTTAGACTGTTCAAATGAGTGGATATGTGGATGTGTGTATTAAATGTAAACCTAATATATAATGCTCTTTATTTTTCATGGAGATGATGTATCATGTCATACTTTATTTTATTTCATTAATGTTTGTGTCATGGACCTCATGGTTATTTAATTACTTTACGTTCTTTTAAAATTTGGATTTTGTTTCATATCTTAGCTCTAGCTTTAATAAATCATCATACTTAGTTTTTGATATAAAAAAATAAGTTCAGAAAAATTCAAATAAAACAAGTCCAGATAAATAAGACTGCATTAATTAGAACATACTTAAATATTGGTTGTGCACTTGTAAAGTAGGTTGTGCAACAACGTAGACAAGCTCGTTCGCGGCCATATGCACAAATGTTCTTTTAAATAATTACGATTGTGTACTTGTGTTATGCATCTAATAATAAGAAGTGTAAAAGTGGGAGAAAGCAACCAACAAATGGTAGGGTCCAAAAAAAAAAGAAAATAAATAAATAAATAAGAAGGATGTTGCAATAGCAAGAAAAGGCGGGAAATGATGATTTTACCAGCAACGACCAACCAACTTCAACATCATAACAGAAGGGGTGTAACTTAAACTACACGAGACTAAAACATTCCAACTTTCTTGTCTTTGATCATCTCTCACTTGTCACTTCCTTATCTTCTCAATCTTCATCATTCTCTGTGTAATAGTATGATCGCACTCGCTTCCGACTTAAATGAATCTTTCAGCTAGTTATTTTGCATTAAAAATGACCAATATGAGATCTCAAAGTTTTCTAATAATGTCATACTTATTGTTGATTTTATGTCTAATTATGTTTGAGCAAAAGAGTGTTTGTTTAGTAAATGCTGCTACTGAAGCCGGTGTTAAACAAGCAAATGTGGGTATTCAAGATGCAAGATCACAGTTTTGCAGCATTGATTTAGCAAACTTTCTTCCTCCTCCATATGGGAACCTTTCCTATAGCAATTGTCACCCTGTTTGGGAAACTTACGTTTTGAGGGTAAGTTCTGTTTCTCCTTAATCGGTTTTTTTAAGGTTTCTTTCTACGGCCTATTTGGTAGGTGGTAATAAGTTACGGCCTTTACGTACAGTGGTAATGACAATATTCATAGTAATGCATTTTCGTCCCAAAGTATGAGTTGTTTGCAAATTTCCGTTGCCACTTGTAATGCATCATCGTCCTGATTTTAAAACAACACTTAATATAGGCTTCTTATTGGTCTATCTGTTTCCAAGGGAATTCAACCATTCTGTAATCCCTTAATGAGTTAAACCTGTGAAATTTTGTTAGCAAAATCTCGCGTATCTATGCCTCATTCAGTTTACACCTTTCAATTGGTTGCAGTATTACCAGAGCAAGGATCACACTGTAACTATAGTTTTATCAGCGCTATACACGACAGGATGGGTAGGAATTGGATTCTCGAAAGATGGGTTGATGGTGGGTGGCAGTGCCATGGTAGGGTGGATCAGCAAAAGTGGGCACGCGAAGATCAAGCAGTATTATCTAAAAGGTCGGAAGCCTCATGAGGTTCTTCCCGGGCAAGGGGATCTCAATCTGACAAGCATTCCTCCTGTCGTGGTACTTGATGGAGCTAACCTTTACATGGGTTTCCAGCTTCAGTTTAATGGTCCTCTTGAGCAGCAGCCCACTCTGCTAGCTTACGGAAGCAGGATTCCCCTCAATCACAAACTCACAGTGCACGATGATAAGACCACCATACACATTGATTACTCAACTGGTGAGTTTTCTCTTATTTTACATACAATGCTGTTGAAAGCATCAGAATCTGAATCCTTTCATATTCTGTTTTTTAAGTGTCAAAAAATACGTCACTTGAGTCATACTCGACAAATAGTGTCAAGTATCCATAAGATCATGATCATGTCGGAATGTCAAGGATTAAACATGCCATATGGGGGATAGAGGTGAGGTAAAATGACAAGTCCCAACTAACAGTCTAACATAACTTATATCTGAATATCTCAATTATATGCTCGTAGTTATCAGAGACCTAATTTCCATTAGCAAAAAGGATAGATAAACAACTAAGAAAAAGGAACGGAAAGCTCACTGTCAAGGAACCATGATCATGATTCATGAAACATAAATCTGAGATGGAAACCTAATATAGTTGAGAAATACAGAATATCTGAACCCTGTGGAAACTAAATTTTAGCATAACGGGAAATGCAAACTAATCCACTACTCTCTTCAATTTTTGCAACTACTCATAGGTTCTATAGATATCTCAAATATATAGTTGGGGAAGGGAAGAAAACAGCGAAAAGTAAGACCAATTATCTTTTGCTGAGTATCAGGTGTTGCTGCTGCTACAAGTGAGGCCGGGGGTTTCGACAAGATGAAAAGAAGCCATGGAATTTTGGGGATTATTGGCTGGGGACTTATTCTTCCTTGTGGGGCTATGATTGCCAGGTTTCTGAAGCAGAAAGAACCTCTGTGGTTTTATCTGCACACTATAATTCAGATTGTAGGGTTTCTCATCGTGTTGGCGGGTGTAGTGGTCGGTCAAACTCTTAATAATCAAATCCATGCAGATGTTGCTGCACATAGAGGCATTGGATATTTTGCTCTCACACTTACCATTATCCAGGTAAATAAAAATTAGATCAGACATCTCATACTGATGTATTGTGACACACTAAAATGTTATCCCCAAAAACATGTAGAAACTGATCTTATATCGCCTCATAAAAAAATTTGCCTTATTCTATTTTTGACTTGTCACAGGTTCTGGCATTTTTCATCAGGCCAGATAAGGAGTCAAAGATACGTAGGCTTTGGGCCGCATACCATCGATGGTTCGGTGTAATTACTCTCTTCTTTGGGGCTCTAAATATTGTTCTCGGGTTCCAAGTTGGGGGTGCTGGTTCTGAATGGAAGATAGGATATGGATTTCTACTTGGTATCATTTTAGTTACTGCAATTGTTTTGCAGGTTCTATCCAAGTTCAAAAGCTCAGAGAAGCCAGCTCAACCTATTTCTGCCTATCAAATGAGTTAATTTCACAAAAAGATTTTTTATTTTAGTTTTCAAGGGGCGTTTGCTACACATCTGAGCATTTGCATCAGTCTTTTAGCTAAACTACGCTCACAATTTTGGTTTTTCTTAAAAAAAAAAAAAAAAACTGGAAGTGGTTGTGTAAATATCATAGTCTTTTGTTTTTTTATTTCTTCTTTCACTAATATGTTGTTTAGAGTATAATTCGAAACAAACGAAAGATGAAACAGGGGTGTTTACAGGCACACCAAACATCTACTATGAACTGAAGGAAGAAATACTTGTACTTTATTCATGAGGCAATGCAACTTTAATATCATGGTATAATGTCACAAAGGGGGGAAGGGAAGAAAACAGATTCGTTGACTGGGAGAAGAGCAAAATGTCAATACCTTGTCAATACAAAGCTGAAGCAGTCAGTATACACAGGTGAACAAAATTGTATCAATCACTATCAAAACCTTGCAATAATCATAATCGAATTTTTTTGTGCATTCTGCAAATCAAAATCTATGAATTTTTATCTTCAGTATACATCACATTGTCAAGCATTCTTCATTTTTGAGGGTAAAAAAAGCCACCTTGCACCTTAACAGAAGTCTCCCAATAAAGACCTGCAGTCAAACAAAATCCAGTGATCAGAGCACAGCAATACGCAGCATGTACAAGAAGTACAAGGATATCTAGCTACTGGTTACACAACAGATCAACTTGAAGAATATGAGAATTTCCTTGAATTTGAAAATGGGTATGTAAATGCCAAGCTTTATCAGCAATAAACTGGTTTTCCAAAATCAATCAATCAATCGAAGCCTTAATCCCATAAGTGCGGTCGGCCACATAAACCAGCAAAATAAGAAAGTAAACGGATGACATTGTGAGTTTAGACTTTGAACTAACCTTTTAACCTCTCAAAAGACATTTCGAGCCCAATAGCAGTGATAGCACAGAAAGGACCAGTAAAGCTCGATGTAATCTGAGACATCTACACAGCTACACTGCATATTGGAACATATATTTTTTCCCATAGCCCTTTTCCTGAAACTGCAGCAAAATGTAACTATTCCCTCATGTTGCTACATTACTTTCACATGATGACAAGGGCCTGGAAGTTTCACTGTCTCGCAAAACTCTGCTGTATGCAATTTTGAATGACTGTGAACAATGAGGTCTTCTAAGCAAACTTAACGGCACTCTTAGAGTTTGCTTTCGGTTTCTTTTTCCTCGAATTAAAATGCTGAAAGTTCTTTCATCATCTTCCACACGATGATTAGATTTAGGAACCTCAGCACTGTCTTCAGACTTTTCCTTGGGGATGTCATCAGACTCATTACACACTGACGTTGTCCCCTTTATATCCACACAAGAAGTTGGATCCTCTTTCTGCTTCTCATTCTCCAAACCAATCCAAGCCAACTTATCTGCATCATGTACCACCTCTGGCATGGAAAACACCACTTCTTTCTTTGCCTCCTCGCCACTACCAATATCATCAGGCAGAAGAGGGGCCAAACCTTGGCTGCTCTCAGAACTTGGAGATTGAGCCTTTTGCTCTGATATAGGTTCACATATTGGTTCAGCCACAGGTGGAATTACAGAGAACTCAACTGGGCGGCAACCAGGCCAAACGGTGCCGGGATTCATGTTGCACTGCCATACATAATGATTGCGATGGAAATGATTTCCACTTGGAGGAAAGCTGTTGGGTGGTATAGGCTGAGCTTGACTGTAAGGAGGGTACATGAACGGCACCTGTTGTATAATATTTGGTGTAGTTGGTGGAGATGGGTATGGGTGATGAGGTGAGGAGCACAAAGGATTAACAGCTGGCATTACTGGAGCAGTTCCAGGGTGGAGAGTCATGTTCATAGGCCAAGGACCTACAGCTGGAACAGCACCTGGACCAGAAGGAAGATTCATGTTCAGAGGCAAGGGAGCAGACCGTGCAATAGCTGGTGATGGGTTAAATGGTGCAGCAGAAGCAGACAACTTCTTGCTGGGGATATCTGGTGCATCACTAGCAACCATGGGTTTGTCTTCCAAATGCTCCTCTCCTTGCAAGGGAGGAGTTACAGCATTATGTTTTGTATGAATGCCACAAGTTATGTCCATCTCAAACTTCACATCTTTTGAAGCACTCATTGAATTCTTCGTCACATTATTTACAGACTCGTTCTCAGGTAACACTTCATGGATGTCAATGGAATCACTCTCAGCCTTGTCACCAGTAGAAGGCACCATGGCACCAGCTGATCGACTTTCTTCCATATCCTGCTGTCCTGGTGAGGACTCCTTGGAATTTGAAAGTGAACATTCATTAACCTCTTTAACATTGTCTACTTCGACATCTGCCTTTTCAGAGGCAACAATTTCTCTAAAATCACTGCTTACAGCAGCTTCACATTTCTCTACAATAGCCTCACCTTCATTTGGACTATCATTTTGGGGAACACTGGCGTGCAGTATAGAAATTGTCCCTGGAGGTGCAACTGCAACATCCTTATAGGAAGGAGACTTGCCCAGCCTAACTATTGTGGGCTTCTCAAGACTTTGTCCAGATTCACTTTCTCTGCTAGAGACCTCCTGAGATTCATCTTTGGCAGAGGAAGGCACAGACTTAACCCTGTAAGTAACAGCTTTGACAATTCTTCTCCCAAATTTGCTGACTTGGGAAGCATTTTTAGCAATATGCTGATCCATGTAACTAGCAGGTGACAATGCACGTTTCTTCAACACGTAATAGTTAGTATTTTGGAGAGAATTATTAAGTCTGGCTGGATCACTTTCAACTTCTTTCTTTTGATAACCATATACTTTGCCAATTGTTGCACGCCGCTGTCTTACACGACGACCGTGTCCCCCAGCTGATCTTGGCCGTTGGACAGGCTGCCACCCATTCTCGGTTTCAATATTGGTTTCAGGTGACACTTTATTTGAAGAGACAGGCTGCTTCTCTTGTGCAGGTTCAGACACAGGCACAACAGGCTGAACAGGCTCTAAAGTAACATCTGCCAATTTTTCTGCATCAGAAGTAACATCAGACTCAGCTTCACCATTAATGCTTTCAGGTTCATTATCACCCTCTGAAATAAGGGGATCTATGTCCTTTGGAGAAGAAACCTCGAGGGTGGGTTTGCTGGAAACCTGGTTAGCTTTCTCTTGGACCTGTAGATATAAACACATTAAAAATGAGAGAGAGCCTATAAACAAATGAATATTATATAAAACCGCAGTAAAGCACTGGTGTGAAACTCATTTCTTAATCAATGTTTCCAGTCCCTCGTACCCAATAATCAGATTTATGACAGGACACATAGACGGTCTAGACACCTTGCACAGACCAGATTGGCAAGGATGGCAACCATGAACATGTTCATATTTGGTAGATGGAAAACAGGCATTAATACTCCATGCAGCTATTCATCTCCTAAATTCAAATCAGAAAGTCTGAAAACGAGCTTATTTTGGGTGTGAGAAACTTCAAATATGAAGGAAATCCCAAAAACAAATTTAATAATTTATCAACAAAAAATTATCATGCGTGTGGAAAAATAAATGCAAAAAATAAAAAAATAAAAACAATTTATTATATCCTGCTAGTCTGTTATCATTGCTCTCATTCCCATTATTTAATTAGCAAACATAGTGACTTTCTATAGATGTGAGCCACTGGAAATGAGAGGAATAATCTACTTATCTACTGCATGTTTAAGATCCCAATTGCAATGGATGAAATGAAGTTTTTACTTTTTTTCATTTGTCTCAGAATAAAAAAGCTAACTGGGACTGTTATAGATAATCAAACAAAATTCTTATGAGGCAAGTCTTGTTTTAATTTGCATATCAAAATAAATGCAACAAAGCATATCACTCCAACGTATAATCTGGATTATATCTAAGAGACTAAAAAGAGCTTAAGATACCTTCACAAAATAGCTTTTTCTCTTGACTGACATTGAATTTCTCCCTTTCGAATCAGGACTCGGATTTATGTAGTCAAGCAAGTCTGAGACACTGGCAATATGCAACAAAGGTTATGCGTGAGTCAGGGTAGCATATATTACATAACACATGAATTCATTCATATGGCAAGAAAGCCCACACTCATAAGTACAATGACCCACTTAAAATCTGAATTAACGCTTTAACAGCATTGTTCATAAACAGTTGGTCAGAAAACCCATGCTTGGAACATATTATCATGGTACATCTGGTCTACTAAAAAATGATATAGGAGATACATAGTATAGGCAACGCTTTAAATCAACAAATAAATTAGTGGACAAAAGTCACATACAGTACAAGGTACTGAGTAACTTCATAAATATATTCATATATATACCTCAGATGACCTTTGCTTGCTATAGATGCATCAGGTTTCCTTGTCCCATTTCTGGCAGCCTCTTGCTGTTCAAAAGCCTTTGATTCAAAATACTCAAGCCAAGCAGCAGCATCCTGCAGAGTAAATTGCAAAAATGATTCTAGAATAAGACAAAATTCCATGAAGAGTTCATGCTTAAAAAAGAACCACAATCTCACGCGCACACACACAATGAAGGCTTCTACCAAAGTCTTGTACATATGAACCATTTTTTTTACTTCTAGAAAAAGCATCACTATGAAGGAAAAGAAAAAAACCAAAGAACTTTAAATGCCCATTTTTTACTTGCGAGTCTCCAGCACTCGTGATGGCAACAGTGAACATTACAAAGCCTCATTTTCAATAGGAAAAGAAAGAGCCAAAATACCTGTGTGCGTAAATCGTCAGGCCCTAGCTTAGTCCGAAGAATTTGCAGGGTTGTCTGCTCATGCTGAACACTTAAAGAATATGCTTCCATTAATGAAAGTGCAATAGCAATGGCATGATAACTTGCTGCTGTCTGGAGAAAATAAGAAAAATAATATAAATTCTGGTTAATCCAATTGTTGGAAGTATAAAGGAAGAGCAAGATGGATGGATGGAGGAAACTGAATCTGCTAGTAAATTAAAACAGAATAGCCTTGAAACAATAGCATAATCCATATCACATTAATTACTCATAGTAGTTGGCTACTTAGTTCCAGTAAAAGGATGCCTAAGCCCTAAGGTAATATTATTAAGATTCTCCATCATAACATAGTAGCTATGATCCTCTGACACTCTGCTGTACGCGGTGGTCGGGTGTCAGATCCTTCGACACGATATGACAGCCAAATATATAGTGGCCGTATATGAAATTTTATAAAATCTAGAATGTCGAATGATCTGATACCGTGTCAGACACGACACCAAATCCGAGTCTGTGCAACATAGCATAGTAAACTTAAAAGAGGGGGAAAAAGTATCCCTTTATCAATCATAGATTAGATTTAATCAAACAAATCTTCCACAAAAAAGCACCTTCAATGAGACAGTAACAGACCCAAAGCTCTCAAATAATAACTATCATGGTCTATAGTCTGCCACAGATGACAGAAGCACTTAATAAAAGAAGCTGCTTCAACTTTTATAGAAGGAACAATTTCTCATAAGCAAAACAAAGGTATGAAGGAATAACGAAAAGAGGCTGGACTCATTTGTGCAAGACTGAAGAAGCATGTAATGAACAAAACCTACTGAAGCTAAGACCAAAGACCCCCAACCTCTATCTTCTTGTAGTGAGATATTTGTTATACTACAAAATAACAATATTCCAAAAGATTACAAGATATCAGAACATGGAGCCAGATTCCAGAATATACCAACTTAATTTACTTAGAAATGAAATATAAAATAAGGAAAGATAAAGAGGAAAATAACCTGAATGTGATCTGGTCCAAGTAACCTTTGGTTACACTTCAGAGCCTTGTGGAGGTATCTAAGAGCAACATGCACATTTCCAAGGCCTTCCTCCATCATTGCCACATTGATGTATGTGGCAGCGGTGTTAGGATGAGATGGACCGCATGTAAGATGTAATAGATACAATGCACGCTTGACATATCTGGGGAATACATTCAAATTCAATGTTAGAATGCATCTTGCACTTATTCCTTTATTTCAATTACACAAGGACTGGTGACACGTCAATCCCAAGAAATACATATGGCCTCTTCATTAACATGTTCATCAAGTATGAAGAGGATTTTCAAAGATTTAATGCAGGGTATGCTGCTGGGTGCTAATAATCAACATACAACATGTTGACAAAAACAGTTTTTTTGGTATGCAGCTTTCACTTTTCTACGTTGTGTCTCTCCATTTAGAGCTTTCCACACTATAACCCCAAAATACATTTAGTTTCTATACGGTAACCTTGCCGTTATCCCGCCGTTAACAAATTACGTTAGTGGGACGCACTCTCCACTTATTAATATTTTTTTTACCGATTTGCATGTTGGAAATCGTTCCGTTAAAGGTTTGGGGTCTATATTGGGCCTTAAGGCAACAAATTGAGCTCAGATGTGACAAAAAAATAACTTGAATGCCTCAATTTGCGTATTAAAACGTAAACACGCAAATCTAGACATTTCTTAATATGCAACAAGAGGTGTTTCTGTTTTTGTCCCCAAATTTGAGCTCAATTTGGATCCTTAAGGGCCAAAATAGCCCAAAACCTTTAACGGAACAATTTTCATCACGCATCGATAAAAAATAATAATAAATGGAGAGTGGACCCCACTAACAGAATTTGTTAACGGCGGGATAACAAGGTTACCGTATAGAAACTAAATGTATCTTGGGGTTACTGTGTGGAAAGTTCTAAATGGAGGGGCACAACGTAGAAAAGTGAAAGTTAGAGGGTTACTATGTAGAAAAACCCTTTTTTTAAAAAAAAAAAAAACTCTTGAGTCATAAAAGCCAAACCAGATGCACGATAACCACTGAATTAGATGATCTATTCACATGAACTTCTTTGAATCAGGAGGCAAATATGGAAATGGTAAGACATGCAAAAAAAATTGGTAGCCTAGAAGGGGCAATGACAATTAGAACATTAATTTCATTAATCTCACAGGAAAAACTTGATATGGAAACCATACCAAACAAAACCGATTACAGGCTACATACCTTTAGTTGATCATACTAATGATTGACTATACTAATAGCACCTTTACTAGGCATTTTGTGTATCAAAACATTAAACCATTTCATGAGGGATTTTGGAGTCACAAACAGAATCAATCTTATGAAAAAATCTTTTGGATAAAAATCAATAATTCACCAAGATGCGACCTTTTAGCAATGGCATGCCCAAACATGAGAGCAGGAATTGATGATTTCTTATGTGAAAATGCTAGCCATTTCTGAATAGAACTCCCTCTGTTTTTTTTTAATTATTTTTTTTTGGGTACCCTCTTTCCATCATGGGGTGTTTTTCTATTTAATTCTTCTTTCGCAAACACTTTTTACCATCTTACCCTATATCCCAACAATATTTACACCAATTCTTACATTAACCCACATTTTACTACCTCTCCTACTTTATTTAAATTTTTTTTTAACACCCATTCACTTCTCCCAGAAACAAGAGTCAACAGTAAGTAGGTACAAAAACAATGGAGGGAATACTAGAAATCTATATACGAAAGCAACACTATCTAAGAGAATACATACTTAAGAGCCAATTCCGTATGCTGAAGGCGGTAATAGAAAACAGCTAAATCTCCATAGCTTTTCATTGTGTCAGGATGATCGAGACCCAATTCCCTCTCATTGATGTCCAAAGCATTTTGCTGGTAGATTGTAGCCTGCAATTCAATTGTCTTAATAAGTCAATAAAGTAACGGACATGAGCTGGATGCAGTGAACATGATACGATAAACATGTACTTCGTATAAGAGATGCATTATATTATTTGTCAGGTCATGGAACTGAAATTTGACACTAACCTGGTTAAAATCTCCAGTATGATACAAAACCACAGCAAGGAGACTGTAAGCACCTGCAGTCATTCGATGGTAGGGACCACAAACTGCTACCAGCTTCGCTAAAGCCTGTAAAGCCCCCACAGCAAATTGCAAGCATCTTAAGCACCAATGTAACAGTTACTTTATAGTATTATTTGAAGATGTCCAAAAAAAAAGGTAGCTCATCAAAATCAAAATTAAAAGTCAAAAACCTTTGTCCCATAATTAACTGCATCTTCAAGCTTTCCTTTATCTAAAGCTGTTTTTGAGGACTCCAAAAGCTGTCTGCCATCAGCAGATGAACATGCTGCTTGCTACAGGAGGTAAAATTATAAAATAACTTAATTGTCAGCCTCAGACAGCATACAACAGGATTTTTCTTACTACTCTTCTTGAAATCCACAAAAAGGAAATCTCAATTCTCACCTTGTGGACAGGTGTCAGGCTAACGATATCTGTTTTACGGAAAGGATTGGGAGAATTCATATCATAATCCCTTGGAACTAATTCAAGACCCACCTGAAAATGGTAAAGATATAATTACTCCGCGCTGTGATCAATTCAACCTTTACAAATCACTATGATCACTAGGCAAATAGCAAGAAAATTTGAAGTCATGAATGCCTATATTTAGTAGATATTTCTGTTAAGAGCTTTCGTTTGATACAGTAAGAGTTTTGAATAGCATCAACCTCGCCCAGAAATCACCTTGTTCCAGTTTTTGGGATTCAAAGAAACTACTGTATCCGCAGAAAGGTTTCCAGCCTACCTACGGGATAGATCAACACCAGATCCTATTGTTGTTGTGGGAAGGAGCATAATATAAGCAAAATGTACTAAGTACACTTAAATTAAGAGGAACATAATAAGGAAAGTACACCAGTAAATTCGGTCAATAAAAACAGCCAGCACAAGCCCAAGCTAATCCTAATAACTATTCAGACATGGATTCCAAGGTTTCTCAAAAGTTTTTTTGCTCTTCTTGAGGAAATTGCGTTAGAATTAGATCATATCTCTCTTTTGCACTGAGTCAACATCTCCCAACCATTCCAACAAAACTTGCTACCCCTGGTCTCCTTACTATAAACACTTCAGTTTCTTAAGTAAAAACTATCATTTAGAAAGTCTTTCCAGAACATGGCAGGCATTTCCTAAATTTGGTGTATAATTTTCCAATCCCCTAGACCTAATATAGATAGGTATATAAACAAGTACAGTAAACAACAAAATTTGACTTCAGATTATGACTACCTACCTTTTGACAGAGTCCACGTAGAATGGCGAATTTCCTCAGATCTTTGAAGTTAAAACCATTGATATCCCAGTCATATCGCTTCATCAAGAATATTTCCAGCCATCTCCATACCAGGGAGTGGACATTGTGTGATTTTTCTGAATCAACAGTCTCAGGAGCCCCCAGCATTAAATTTAAAGCTGAAGCAACAGTCACAGCCACCTCGTCAGTATCAACAGAAGCAATCACTGCTTGGAGAATGTGCTTATAAGCTCGAACAATCATCTCATGGATACAGAGAGACTGAACATGAGACAGCTTTTCCGACAACTTCACCTGATCAAAATTTTAAAAAATGCATCAGCCAGGCTTACCTGAATGCAGAGGTTGACTACTACTTTCAGAAAAAGAAAAAATAAATTAAAAAAAAATAATCATGTTGGTTTAGTGCAGCGAACGTTTAGCTTCTATGCACTATTTTTACTTACACCATCACATAGGTGTATTGTGGTTACACTGACATGCAATTTGCTGGAAATTGCAAATTCGTGTTTTTTTTTCACTAACACAATTACTAGCATAGGTATATACACTGACATACAAATTTCCAGAAAATGTAGATACTACAGGAGTTTTTGATGTCCGTCCATTACTGATTCACTGCCTACACCAAGCTAATAGTCAATGTCAAAGAGAATAGAATGTATACCACATCTCCGTATTAGTTGCATTAAGAGTTTTATCAACTATCCCATTTTCTTGACTTGAGGTCAAAGTGCCATCCTTCTAAAGTTTAAATGAGATTTTACAGTAACATATTCTTTTTAATCATCCTAGTTCATTTTATTACTAAAATTATCCAAGAACCATGGCAGATTGGATCAGAGAGCTTACAACACGTCCAAGCGAATTCATTCGGAGACCTCTTGTATGCATAAAATCAGTTAGTGTTCGTCCATCGACAGGTGAGAGTTCTAATGAGCCAAAATCTGCTACCTGTGCATCACAAATGGTTAAACAAGAAATTGCAGGAATTGTATTTTGAGCAGAGAAAATTAGAAATTTATCATATATGATAAAACAAGAGTACCAGCTTAGGCAGAGCAACTTCGTCATAATATTTCTGGGAGAGGTCAATTAGTTCTGGCAAAGACTGCACCCAAAACATTTGCATTAAATCAGCAAGTATTCAGCAAGCAACAAAAAATAAAGTATTCTCTTCTGAGTTCCTAGGAATACTACCTTCAGGTGCAATCCTGTATCTGATTCTTTTAAACGACTGAAAGCTGCGTCTGACAAGATAGTTTTGAGAGCAAGCTCATTCTCACTTGGACTGGTGTTGGACTGTGCTTCAGTTGAGGACACAGAAAAAGCACTGCTTGAATTTAAAGGTGCTTTATCAAAATTTACTTGAGAATTTCCTTCTGATTTCTTGTTCTTGAGAGATCTAAGGGGCATTCCCAACCCCTCGACCTTCATCTCATTCTTCGCCTTAGGAGCAGAAGGTTTCTTGTCTTTCTCTGAACTTTTTTGATCCTGAAGATGTTGAATCCAACACGCTCCTAGCTCCCATCTCACGTAATTATCTTGCTTCGTGTTCTCTACCTGAAGCTTGGCAAGACTATCATCCAATAGTTTCTCCACAAAAGCTTGAGCTGTGTTGAGTCTTTGACTCTCAGACAGATCTGATTGAGTTACCCATTTGTGATTATCTGTAGCTGCTCCCTTATGAAGCAACAGTCTTAAACTGCAAGGAATATTTGGCAAGAAAGTGTAAATTAATAGGGGTGAGCATGAGACGGGTACCTGTATCGTTAGTACTAACGGTTCGGGTAACCGATAACCAATATCACTAAAAGTGATATCCATAAACCAAACCGATAAGTTCGGGTACCCGGATTTTCGGATCGGTTATCGGGTACCCAATAAGATATCCAATAATGATAATTAAACTTAATAATGTAGTTATTATGATATCATTTAACACTAATTAACAACAATTCCAAATGATCTTGACCAAATTATTTATAATATTACTAATCCTTGATATCATAAAGTGATTATGAAGTAAAGTAAGAGTTTAGATTTTGGAAAAATAGATTTAAGTAGGAAAAAAAAATAAAAAATTGCTTATCGGATCGGATCGGGTAACCGTTAATTTTAAAATGATACCCAATAACCATACCCGATAACAAATTATCGAATTGGTTACCCGAACCGTTATGGTTATCGGTTTGGGTACCCTAATTTTCGGAACGGTTACAGATCGATTTTTCGGTTTTTCGGGTAGTTTTGCTCGGCCCTATAAATTATCATAGCAGCAACAGAGAGTCATTTACAGGAGAGCTAGAATATTAGTTAATTTCAAGTTTTTCAACCCATCCCACCCACACAGTAATCAAGACTGGATAAAAATAAAGCAACTTAGTCTAGAATTCACATCAAACACCAACACCAACACCCACACACAGCAGATGACCTCAACTTTTCGAGTGAGTAAGTCAGAGATGGTGACCTGTTAATATTGAGTGCATTTGCACCGCCTTCTGGCTGATCAAAAGCTTCTATGCTAGGTGACAATGAATCCACTGCTGCATCCTCTTTGACTTCAACCCTCACCGTGACAATGTAACCAGCATACCTCAGATTTACAGAGCCTAAACTGCTGATATCCTGCAACAAAAGCATAAAGTTCAGTTAGCCACTTATCTCAGCAAGCCAACAGATCCAAGCTCATAAAACCGTGAATATGTCATACATGAGCAGCAGTATTCTCATCTGCCGTAATTCCTTTTAGCAGGTTCTTCTCCGTTAGCGCCCTCTGATCCAAACCGGTGGCACGAAGCCCATCAATTTTAGTGTCCAGCTTACTGCTAGCAAGAGCAACATCCTTCACGACAGTGATGTTCAAATCGCCAACTTTCTCAGCATGAATAATCTCGTCATTGACAGTTGAGTTAATCACCCTCATTTTCTCCATTACATATTGCAAGGTAGAAATTGCCCTAAAAATTGCTACATCTACGAACAAGCTATGAATAAGAAAAGCCTTTCTATCCCGTAATTGCCTCTCTTCAGGAGTCTTACAAGGCATTGATGCAACAAAACGGAATTCATTTGCCCAAGGTATCAGATCACTTTTTCCATCTCTTCCCCAACCGCCACCATTACCACCCCAAGTTTCATCCTCTACAGGAAGAGGGGGAAATGTCGAAAGTGAATGTGTTGCAGACGGAGGAATGAGCCATGTATTGGCTCTGAAGCCATACGGCAGATTACCAAACTGCAAAAGTTGAGAGAAACAGAATAAATTTAAAGGAATACAACCAGGAGAACAACAGGATTTTTTATGAACTTCATTCTTGGAGGCAAACACCAACAGAAGATAAAGAAAAGTACCTTGTTGCGCTCTGAAAAAGCTTTCATGAGCTCATCATAAGCCTACAAGTTGGAACACCGTATGAATATAATTTAATGTTTAGCGAGTGAAACAGAATAGTTAATATGCCACTGTAATGCAAGAAAATATAAAAATGTCATAAGCCTTATAACGAATTTGCTCTTCGACCAAATTTAGGTCCCAAAATTGCAAGTTGCTCCAAAGAGGAAAGGGCATCTACATTATCTATGGTGGATGACAAGGCTAAAAGACGCTTACTTCTAGCATCGTACACATGCACTACAAAACTGACAAGAATTGTCTTAAAATGTCAACCTTATCTCACTGTCTCAAAAAATCTATGAAGTGATTATAAAAGTGGAGTAGTCTACTTAAAAGCATTTCAACAAGACATGTCTTTGGCAAATTATAACTTTCATTTAGACAACCCCTGAAAAAAAAAAGAAAAAAAAAAAAAGGTACTCCTAATTTGAAACACATTCCAAATTCAGCAGTTAAAAGTACAGCATGTAACTCACATTATCAAAAGCTCTACTTAGTTGTCTTAGAAGATCAACAAGGTTGTGACTGAGAACACGATGCTTCCCGATACTGATGAAACCTCGCTTACAAGCCTCAACAAGAACCACCTTGCCATTGCACAGCTTAACCTGCCCAAATCAATATGAATCTCTTGTAATCAAGGACAAAAATGAGACAGACTAAAAACGTCTCTCATTTGACATTAGACATAAACAAAGAGAAACAGTCACCCGTATTAGACCATAATTAATCCAAAACATAATATCTACAAATCAATGATCACTGCTATTTCATAAAGTATGATCCACATCTCAAATATGTCACTTCTTATCCTAATTATAACAATCAAATCTATTCCTTCAAATAATAAACTCACTATTTTCGTTAACGCGACATGTTGCAATTTATAGCTAGCTACAAAGAGCAATAACGCAAACGGATTATACATCATCTGGCATAATCTTACCAACTAAACTAGCTGACATCAATGAAACCTAAAATAATCATCCAGAGTTACACATAATACATCACTAAACAACCAAACACAGTGAATAAATCAAATTAATTCCCAAATCGTTTTGAAATCCAAACAAACACTTAAAAAGTATAAACAAATCAAAAGAGCATAATTAAACAGAAAATAAAAATCAACTTACATCCATGAAAAAAAGATGATCATCCTCCAAAACCTGATCATCAGTCTGCTTTGAAGCCCTTCGAATAACTACAAATCATCACAACACCATCCGTAAAATCAAATTCCACCATTTTCTTCACATTTCATCCAAAAAAACAAATCAATCAAATCAAATTCCATACATACATTGAAGAGGAGGAGAGAGATGAGCAAGAGAGAAGAACTCGTAAAAGCTACCAAGCTTAGGGCACGAATTATTCGTCTCTCCCTCACCGTCAATCATCATCGAAACATCATCTTTCGTCGAAGATTTTCCGGAAAAATCCTCCGTCGCCGGCGCCGGCAATTGTTTGCCGGAATTCGACTTATTGCCGGACTTCTTCGACGCCGACGAAGTCTTAACCAGCGCACCACGCGCATTTTTAGCATCCTCACTTTTCGCCCCTTCTTTGGCGCTCGCAGAAGGCCCGAAGCTTGTTGTGCAAGCTACAATGTCGAGTAGTCTTCTAACGTGCGCAGCTGCACTTTCCTTATCGTACGCCTCTGTAAATTGAGAAAAGAAGAAGAAGATTAGAATGAGTGAGACGGTGTCGTTTAATCGTTTTGATTTTTTGTTTTTTTTTTTCAATTTTCTGGCGAGAGGATAAGATAAAACGACGTCGGTTAGTGGCTAAGGGTTTATGTTACCTTCAAGGAGTGTGAGAGTGCAGGGTTTAAGAGCTGCAACGTCCACCGTGTCTTTTAGACGTGGGCCCCTCACCTGTACATTTTTAAAAGGATACCCAAAAAAATAAATAATGTTACGTAATTTTTTTTACTTTTTATAGAAATAAAGTAAAAAGGGCAAAAAGAAAAATAGGGTATAACAATGTCAAAAGAATTTGTCATCCCCACAAAGGTAAGGTTTTTTTTTTTTTTTTTGAGGGAATTTTTTTTTTTTAAAAGCAAGGTGGGTCATTGGATAAATAAAGAAAATAAGGATTGGATATTAACCTCATGTGATAAGGAAAAATTGGTGATGTTGCAAGTCATGGTGTTGACTGAGAGAAGCTTGCGGATATCGATGATTCTATATGTGGATATTCCCTGTAAAATTAATGAGAGTTTAAGTTAGTGTAAATATTAGGTTGTAAATTAAAATAAAGAGATTGGATAGTCATGAATCTAATACAGATGGGAACAAAAGATTGTGCATAATTACTCCTTAATTTGTTGAAAATGAATACCTTGTGTGGAGCACATAATATGCTTGCTTTTACACGTCATGTTTAATTTCAAAAGAACCATTCACGCTTAAGATCTTAAGACTTTTGACAAGTTACGTCGTACAATAGTTATTGTATTAAATGCATACTGAGCGCATGTGTCCCTTTCTTATGTAATATGATTAATTAATTTCGAGAGTATGACAGAATAACTACTCATAAATCTTTTTTTTTTCCCCTTAATAATCATGCATGTTGTAAATTTCATGCAATCTTATATATTCATGTTTTCTTATTACATGACACTAATTGTAAAAGCCAATATATTGTTTATTTTCACTTTCCATATGGGGGCGGTTTTAATTTAGTAAGTTACATCATCCATGAGTATAAACATCATGCATCAAATAAGTAATGGGTGACTAGACCAGACATCTTCTATTGTTCAAAATTTTAAATGCCAAAGCACCCACAAGATTTGATACCCACCAATAAAGAAAATGACACCTACCATTTGAGTCTTAGCCTATAAAATCTTATATTCCATTCAAGAACATAAGTGCATATTCAACACAAATGAAAAAAATAAAATAAAATTGGACCATGTATATACTATATTAAATACTGTATTTACTATACCAATATAACATCTAAATAAACGAGACTTTGAAGTGTATATATATTACTTTCATTCGAATTTAATTGTCAGAAAACTATTTTAAATCAATACGACCGTCAAAGAGGGTATTTGTGAAAATGAGATTGTGGTAAACAAACTTGTTGCACCCCAAACAATAAAAACCAGTGGAAACTCTGTTTTTCATTGACACAAAAAAAAAAAAAAAAAAAAAAAAAAAAAACACACTATTAAAACATGAAAAATTGAGTAAGTATTATTATAAACCTTTAAGACTACACTAGTCTCATCGGGAAGGTTCACTGTGATATCCATTACAACTGGAAGAACTGAAGAATATTCACAAACAACGGAATTGTTAGTATATTAAAATTAATTAAACAGAATTAATCAAATACTTCTTTATATTAAAATAAAAGATATTTACAAATAAAAAAATATACTTTTCTCTTCTTTCTTCTTCTTGTCTCCTTTGCTCTTTCCTCTTCCATTTTTGGGTGCCATTTCTTATAAAATTGTAAACTTTTCCTGTAAAAAAATGGAATTAATTAATTAATTAATTTCAATTCAAAAATGCAAAATTACCAACTTTAATCCATAATTAATGAATTTAAGCAAATGGGTAATTCAAAATTACGTAAATTTCAGTGTTTCTGACAAAATTTAATCTGTCTTTTAAAAAAAATCAGTAAATCTTACCAGAAAGTACAAATTCCAAAGCCCAAAAAACAGGGGAATAGTAAAACAGAGCAAAAATTCAGTAAAAGGTTTTAAGTAGGATAAGATAGGAGTTTAAGAAGTAGCAGAAAAACTAAATTTGAAAATGAAGTTGAGCATTGAATTTTTAGAGAGAGAACGAGAGGAGAAAAATTGGTGGGACAGAAAAACAGGGGAGTTAAATAAAATTGTAAATGGGAGATTGAAAACAGAGGAGGTGGGTATGATAAGGAAGGAAGGGTGGAGATTTAAGGCTCAGATATAACTTGGCATTTTGTGCTCTATTTTTATGGTTCTTTTTTTAATTTTTTTTTTTTTTTTTTTTTTTTGGGTTTGAAATAATACCCAAATTTTCTGCCTTGCATATGGGGTATAAATTTTAATTTTTTATTTTTTTTTTCGGTTCGTGTATTAATGATACATAGTAATAAATCAAAAGTAATATAGAGCACTAAATAAAAAATGATACGGAAAAGAATAAAGACCAAAAGTGATACGGAGTAATAAATCAAAAGTGATATGATGTGGAGTAAAATAAAAGATCAATAATTAGGAGTGATACGTTTGGTTTAATGATACAGAGTAAAATATAAACAAAAAGTTATACACCAAGAGTGACGGTGATTAAACCAAGAGTCATATGGAGTAAATTAAAATCCGAAAATTATACGGATTAACATACCAAAAGTGAACGAATTAAAATTAAATTTTTAGCTGTTAGAATTAGGGTAGATTAAGCAATTAGCTCATTTGATTTTATTCATCTATTGGGTAGTAATGAATGATGAAATAGGAAAATTTTAGAGTGTGGTTGACTGATCGCCATGTGTTTGTGTGTAGTTTGTATGGTATCTCTAAGAAAGATTACAAGCCATGTGGCACCTCTCGTGCACTAAAATTGCCTTTTAGAGTAGTTTTAACTCATAGCCAACAATAATTAAGCTGGAAGTCTTATTCACTATTTACTTGTATTTATCTATAGCTTGCAATTAACTCACATACTCTGTATGTATCTATAGCTTAATAGCTTATAATTCAGTTCAAAGTCTTACTCACCATTTACTTGTATGTATCTATAGCTTATAATTAACTCACATGCTCCGTATTTCAAGTTATGGTAGACTAAGTTTATTTAGTTATTTCCATTAGTTCCTCTATTTTTATTTTATTTATTTATTTTATTTATTTTTTTAATTTTAGAAAGTCAAGTGATACAATGGGATATTTTAAGTACAATTCAGGGCATCAGTTAGATTACATACTAGATATAAAAGTGAAAACTATGAATTATGAGCTAAATGATCATATAAGTATAAAATACTTAAAAAATTGTATTAAATGTGTATTTGCAACTGAAAAATATATTTACAACCCTGGAGACTGCATCTATATATCATTTTAAACGGTGAAAATTCTTACTTGATCTGATGCTGTTTTCCTTTTCTGTTCACCAACAAAAATCCTCGTCAAAAAGAAATCATTTTAAAAGTTTAAAAAGAATAATTTCACACCTTTTTCAATGAAAGAGAATTTCATCAATTATAAGTCAAACAGATCAACAATAAACAAATAGGGAAGAACTAAAAGTATTAGGCAACATACATAATGCTCATCTTCCACTAAATCATTGTTTTGATATAGATACATGCAGTCGCGTATCCAGGAATTCCGAACTGTGGGTTCGAAATCTTAAAAAAAAAAAAACGATGATCATATTTTGATTAAAAATTCAATACATAAATCAAATTTTTATCACGGATGAATTACACAATAAAAAAAATAAAAAAAAAATAAAAAAAAAACCTACAAAAGCATTCTTCGAGTTTTCCTACTTTGAAAGCGTGCTAATACATCATCATCACTAACTCTTGCAAATAAGTCTCTCTCAAGATAAGTAACTAAACTATCATTCAATAGTTGATCACCCGTACTATTCCGCAACTTATTTTTTACATAATACACAATTAATTATCAATTAAAATCACAAGTCCCCAATAAACACAAATTTGACAATATAAACTTCTTCTAATTATCAAATTTCAACTAACAGAACAAGTAAAAAATTTATTTCAAAAAAAAAAAAAAACAAGTAAATTTTTTTTAATTCTAACTTCTAAGTTTCTACAATTCAATTTCTCAACAATTCAAGAATTCAACATATATCAAAACCATAAACCAATTTAAAAAATAAAACAAGCAAACCAAGATTAAGAATTAATAGGACTGGAGTAGAGGAATAAGAGATTAAGAGGACTCACAATTGTAGAAGAACTCTGAAGTCTGAATTCAGAACAGTCGTCCCTCGTCCGTGTCTCCGTCACTCCGTGAGGTCGTCAGTGCTCCCGGTCGCCGGTTGGTGTCTCGGTGTGCGGTGCCGCGGCGGCTAGTGGCTAGGGTCATAGGGTGTCAAGGTTAGGGTTTTGGTGTTTGGGAATTTGGGGAAAATAAGAAATGTCGATGTTTGATTTCTGAAATCTGAAATTTGAATGTAAGGAGTAAAAGAACCAAAAAAAAAAAAAAAAAAGTACAAAAAAGAGGGCAATAGGAGTCGAACCTAAGACCTAAGATATTAAAAAGGCGCGCTGCTCTATTATTCAAAGCCTTACCAATGCACCAAACTTACCCATGTGATTATTATTCTCACAGAAATTGTATTAACCCTTTTTCTTTTTTCTTTTTTTAAAAAAAAATTAAAACTTATAATTTTTTTCCAAAAAATCTGTGGGTTCAATGAACCCCCTTGAACCCCCCCTAGATCCGCCCCTGGATACATGCAGCTTCCAAATATAGATTCACGTTTATTTGTTATTTTATACTCGTAATTAATAATTAAATCTATTTTAGGGTGTCAATTAATAATTAGAGCATCATATTATGGAGAGTAACTGAGTAAGTAATAAATCTGGAACATTGTTATTAACACGAGTCTAGTGCATGGGCCTAATAATTCAATAGCTTATATTATATGCAATTTCGATAATATATTTTACCAATGTTAGTTATTTTTCTACACTAGATTCATGTTAGAGAATGACTTCATAGTTCATACCCTAAAAGTGACTTAGTTTCTTTAATATATATAAGAGAATTAATGGTATTTTTGTCGTGTTTAATAAAGACACCTAAGTTATTCATCAGCATAAATGTAACTTAAAAGAGCTGTTAAGTTAAAAACATAGCTAGGTAAGCTAATAGTATGTTTGGAGTTATCAACGATGACATATTGAATAATTCACTAGCTTTTAAACTTGAATATTCAATGTCGTTTAGTTTATCTATGTCAGATATTCTGGACATTTCACAATAAAATCAATAATTTAAACAGTTGCCATCAATATAGGAAAGTAACCTAGATAATTTATTAGCTTTTGTAACGTCGAATCTTCAATATAATCTACTTTATGGTTTTTATCTTTGTCAGATATATTATACGTACGTTTTTTTTTAATATAATTAATACTCAAAAATATTTGTCATAAATATAGTAAAGTAAAAAGTAGATTGATGAGCAAGTTCAATAACGACGTTGAGAATAATTCACTCACTTTATTACGTGAATTTAATATTGTTTATTCTCATGACATATATATATCCGTACACTAACACATGTTAGATAAAATCTTAGAGTGTATCCAAATAAAATTATACCATAAAAATTATCATCAGCTGTATTTGGCGTATTCAACAACCACCATGGTAGTTTAAGTCGGTTGATTAGACCAATACATTAAAACTGAATGTTACTCAAACCCTAAGTTAAGATCTATGCTCTTTTATTAGTGCTTAATTGGTTACAGTAATTGTTGTTGTTTGTTGTTGAAAAGAAAAATTACAATAAAAGCATTATATTAACAATAATTACAAGTACAAGTAAGATATTTAATATGAAGTAAATTGAATAGTTAAAAGTATAAAATATAATGTCAGACGTAGAAGGAGTTTTGGGGCTTTTGGCCTGCCGCAACAAAGAAAAAGGTTGCAGGCAGGCAAGTATAATGATGCTCCAAAAGCTACCGTTGCAAAAGAGTGGCTGACCCATAAAATGTCATTTTCATCCAATTCACGTTCTTCTTCTTCTTCACCATCTCAAGTGGAGTAGCTCTTTGGAACTTTCTTCTACTATACAACATTTAGATAAACCCATAAAATCTTGCCTTCTTTATTTGGTGGACCATTTTTTATTTTTTATTTTTTTAAAAAATATACTTTAGACTATACTAATACTACTACTACATATGGAATATAGCTTATAAGAGTTGTATTTTATATTTTTATGCATAACGTTTTTAACTCATGAGAAATAGACCTTATCTCTTTGGCACTTCTAACATTAAGGGGATTGTGTTTTTTTTTTTTTTTTTTTTTTTTTTTTTTTTTGTTTTTTTTCCTTTCATAAGGGCAAAACAATAAGTGTTTAAATTGGATTTCTCTAAAAAAAATAAGTGTTTAAATTATGAGACTGCATATATACTTTGTTAGAAATCTTGGGGTTATTACGTAATGAGACTAGTAATTGGTTTGTGGGCGAAAAAACAAGGAATATGTATCTATATGTGAATTTGAACATCTGAATGTGAATATATGACTATTAAAATATATTTTGTTGCTAAATATTAAATTGTCTATATCAATAATGTATCGAGTACTTGTTTAATTGACATGTAAATATAAGTGAAGATGATTTTCAAAAGATGTAATTCATGTAAACATATGTGCAAATTACTTCATCCAAAAAACTTATACTTCCTCTTTTTTTATTAGAGGCATCAGTTTCTAAAAATGAAAGTTTCAATTTAAATGCATTACCTTCTCTTTTAGTTGATAAATTCTCTCTATCTCTCTCCTATCACATGAACCCTCTTTATTTTTTTCTCTCTATTTCAAAAATTGTCTAAGAGTTAACAATTACAAAAGTACTCGTAATGCAATTAACTAAATAAAGACAGAGGAAGTAGTTGCTGATTATGTTCATGCCAATCAAATTTATTTACTGTTTTACTCAAGTATTGCAATCTCTGAAGAGCACATTTTTTTTTTTTCACATCTAATCAAAACAAACACCAAGCATGGAAAAAAACAACACACATTAGCTAGACATGACAATTATCTTAGTTATCTTGAGAATAAAAATAGTAATAGTACCATTTTTACAAATTTAAGACACAAAACTTCATATTTTAGGTGATCTAGATCAATTTGTCATCTGAATATGTCGAAAAAGATAGTGGTCCATCTCAAGTTACAAAATTAAACGGTAGATAATCCACCCTTGTTTATCCCTTGAAAAAGATATGTCTACATGAATTATTTAACTACTATATACCTTACTGTAATTTCTTTGATTAATTTACAATTTGAACATAAATTCAAAAACCAAAGCACGTAGAGTCATGGACTCATCTATATATCTTAAATTACCAAGGAACTACGGACTTACGTAGTACACCCCTTATATGTTCATTGTTATTTTTGCTAGCATACAAAATATTTGCATTTTTATTGCTTACTAAATAAGCATTATGCCTATTATCACTAAGTCACAAAACTAATCAATTTTCTACATGTAATAATTATATACAATCCGCTCCATGTTGGTGGTGGGATTTTGTTGGGTACATATGAATAAGAAAGAAGGTAATGTGCATTTTTTTTTATTTCTTTTTTTCATTTTTCAATGGAGGTAGAAAGAAATTAAGAAAATATATGGTGCAAGTATTGTAAAGGAATGACGGGAATAATATTTTGTCAAGACATATATATACATACTACTAAACTACATAGTACACAGTACACAAGTAATGGATAGACGATTTCATTTTGACAAATTACTTGTTAATTATCCTCGAAAAAAAAACAATTTAGTCCACTCAATACGATAGGTGCATTATCATTCGGAGAAGAACACAAAACGTCCCAATAACGTGAGATAAAAACTTCTCAAAAAAAAAAAATATAATTTAAGATTGATTTAGAATCATGTAGAATAATGCAAAATTTAAATTTGGAATTGCGTGGTTACAAATATCCTAAACACGTAGACTTGATGAACATTCAAAAAGAAGTCATTATCTCTTGTTTTGAGCATCATTTGGATTGGCAAAAGACCGAAGCAACTGGCCTGGTTGCACAAATTGTTCACGATGACAAAGCGCGCAATCTGACTATTGACATCGAGTTTATGGAGTTGCAAATTCAAACACAATCTATCTTTCTGACCAAAATTCATACATGACACACATTGACACATATTCATTTCAACGTAGATTTACACTAAATTAGGGGGAAAAAAATCTATCAAACAACAATTTGGTGCTAATTTAATTTTCATTTTGAAGGAAGAAATATGATTTCTTACATATGTAATTTACTCTAAAAGTTCTAATATAGTCGACTTTTCCCATATCAATCTTAAACTTAATAAACTCGAGTTTGGGTGTTCCAACCAAGAAAATATGTATTTTCTCCTATATGTTGAGTTTTTTTAATAGAATATTTGCTAATTTATAATATTATTTGTAGGATGTCATAACTCTTTTATTTTATTTGATCATATATTTCAAATTGCTCACAATATATTCAAGCCAAGTTTTGTTATATTCAACTCGACATGTTTAGAAGTTGAGCTCACTTGATTTGATTTCTTACAAGTTGAGCTTAGCACAAGAAAGTTAATCGATCTTATCAAATCAATCAAATTCTAGGTGTGATAATTCTTAATTGTAAACGCTATGATAGCTTTAACTATACTAAGAATCAATTTATTTGACAATTGTCCATTCTTTCATCAAAATTGAAGGAACAAATGGGAAGTTGTGGTGGAACTAGAAGGTTTAAAGCTTCCTAATCGATCAGTGACTTCAACACACAACCTAATCTATAAAATACAATTCATTCAATCCTCATTTCCCCTAGAATTTGATAATTGTCTTTATGACCAGTCGTTTAGATACAGTTATTACATCTCCATCTATATATGGGACATTGAACTTAAAATGGGATACACAGAAAATGGTAGCTCAAATAGCAACTTGAGCTACTCCACGATCTAGGTTTTGTCCAAAGATCAAGTCTCAACAAGTAAAGGGGTGTTCTAGGAACGTTAATAACTGCTACAGGTATACTTCATCCATTTTAAAATAGTTTAAGTAAGACTAAAAAAGTAAGAGTTTAAAATCGAAATTAAAGTTTCAAAACAAGCATTATGCCCTAGGGCTACATTACATAATTTGGGTGACAATCATAGACTTATACTTACTTGCATTAGATTATAAAATACAATTAAAATCATATGATACTGACAGCAAAGGAAATAACTTTATATCCAGTTGAGAAGATAACATCATGCATGCGCACAATTTCATTGATATGACCTATCTGCTTATGCAACTTAATCAGCAACTCAAGCACTCTATACACTAATTAGAATGCTTAATTGCTGTATAATTAGCGTGCTATGCACCTATTAGGCTATTTATACTACAAGTCAAACCTTTTATATTGAGCACTAATGAATAACCATCTTAAGCACTAATTAAACTAGTGGGGCGGTTAAAGCTTATGATTTCGTTATATAATATGTTGTAAATATGAAAGATGATTAACCTATCTTAAATATGATCCATCGAATAGTTCGACCAGTTAGATGACTTTTGGATCGAGTATATCAATCAAACCATCAGACTAAGTTCTAGTTTCGAAAAAAAATAAAATGCATTCGCTCCGATCCTTTTGTCCATCCTCTTTGAAATCCTGTTGCAAGACCCAAAAAAAAAAGTCACGGTAGGAAGAACAAAAAGAATCAGAAGAAATATGCAAGATCATAAATACTTTTCGGTTTACATCGGGTACAGTAATATTTTTTCAGCAGAATACTTGGAATTAAGTACAAGAAGTTTTAGACATTTATGGGAATGAGTATATATACGTCAGTGCTATATTAGACCACACATCCAATAGCAGTATGAATGGGTGTACTTTAGGCGCTGCAATTGGTGACAAAATGACAATACAAATTCCAAAGGAAATCATCACATAAATAATAGAACTGCCATTTGTATAAATTCTGTCATTGATTTAAAGACCATGCTCTATATATTGGACCATAGTTGATATGATAATAATAATAATAAATTAATAATATGTCGTGGTGATATACTAACAATATTATTTTGTGAAAAATATTGTGATATTAAATTAACCTGAAAAAAATGTGTCTATTATGGAGTGTGTAGATAATCAAAGAGTTTGTATGTTGATTGGACTTATATTATCATTTTTGTGGCAAATGTTGTAGAGGAAAAATAAATACATATACAGCCCTACACCTCAAGTTTTAGGGCCCTCTGCATCATCTTCAAGGGTCTAGAATGTCACCAACAAAAAGACATCTAAAAGGTAAACGATAACGGCTTGTTTGGTAAAAGATAAATGCTTGCAACGTTAATGAATTTCATGGTGATAACGGCTTGTTTGGTAAAAGATAAATGCTTGCAACGTTAATGAATTTCATGGTCATGAAATTTCCAATCCTAATTACAGATTACTATGTACTCCAAAGTCTCCAATCTTCTTTACAGAGCTCTATTACTGAGTAGCGTTTTTACGGTAGTACTGGTTATGTAATTAACAGACAAATTTACAGTGACTACAAAAAAATTGTAGCCATTTGGATAGATCATATTTCAACCGTATACAACCAAATAATTTGAATAGTAGTTTGAGATGACTTTTTACTCTTAAAAAAAAAATTAACTTTGACGATAAAAAAAAAAAAAAAAAAGAATTAAATAATCTCGCATTGGTTTCAATTTCCCTTCTTTTCATTGAAGGGTGCAAAGAAGTTAATAGCTGAAACCAACATAGGGAAATTCATATTCTTTTTTTTTTTATTATTATTATTATTATTATTTTATTTTATCAAAGAAATTTTTTGTATGAACTATGAAGTCATCTTAAACAACAGCCCAAATTATTATAATAAATGAATGGGTTTTAATCTATTACAATGACTACCATTTTTTTGTAGCCACTCAATACTCTTTCATAATTAACATTAATTACTACCGCCTACGGCCTTTTAGATGGATTGTATCTTGTTAGTGTGTTTATTTGTATCTATAAAAATCACCCCAACAATATTTTTTCTATCTAAATTATACTTAACTAGAAAGGGCAAAATCAACAAACTTTAAGATGTCGACTTGTCGAGTTACCAGAGTATCACAATGATATTATACATGTACTAGGGAACAGGGCATGATCATAAATCTTCAGCTAGTAAGCTTACCAAAGTCTATATTATACTTCAGTAATCTAGCATTCTAGCATGATGAAAATTGAATAGATGACCTAGCCTTCCTTGGTACAAGCATAATTAAGATAATCACAATGTTTTCCTCTGGACTTCACAAGAAGTTTCCATTTTTTCAAAAACTATTAGCCACAGAATTTTGAGTTTGTGTTAATAACACTGGGTCCATCTAAACCGGCTCAGCTGGTTGCTAAACCAGTCCAAGCCAAGGTTCCAACCGGCAAGCCGGTAAACCCCTCCCCCCCTAGACTGACCCAGCAATAAACCTTCCCAAGCCCACTGGCCAGAGGCCAATTTCACATGAAGGCAGTATTTGTACTAAGAAAGAAGCCTCGGAAAAAATAGGCTAAACACATATTTGCCAAACAAGGTCCTTGGGAACAAAAAACAGACAACACTCAGATTTGCATATACAGAGCCTAGTTCAACTACTCACAATCCGTACATCAATACATGAACACCTTTAGTATAACATCTTGCAAAGACCTAAGGCCTCTATTCATGCAACTCAATCATATTTAAACACTCAAAAAAACTCAAGAACTTACTCTAAGGCTTCTGCTGTAAGCCTGTGATGCATTCAATAGCCAGAGGTGCAATTTTACACTGTCTTCAAACTCAATAGATTAGTAGAGTGCTGTTAAAGGCAAGAAATGATTAGAATGAAACACACAGAAAAAGGGCAACAAACGTCTGTACCCTCCAATAGTTCAAGGTATAAATGTATAATCAGTAACAAAGTTTCACATAACAAAACCAATGGATCAGATTTCACTACTTAGTGCATCAGAGATTCATTGGCAAGCCAGAAGTAACACAAAGGCTTGCCTTTCAACTTGGCTACAACAGTACAAGCTGTACAACACAATCCTGACACCCTCCAAAACACAGTAACAATGTAACATATGCTATAACTTCTAATTATTTATTGACCTGTCCAGGGAAGGCTTAGCTAAAAAGGTCTGCAATCATTAATCAACGCCCAAAGAATGGGGATATCAAGCCAAATCGATCAATATAACCTTTGTGTGTGTGTGTGTGTGTGTGTGTGTGTGTGTGTGTGTGCAGCGAGTGAGGAGGTAAAAGTGCGTGATTCCAGCTACGCTATCTTTAAAGAAAGGGAAATGTAATCCATTAATCCTACTAAAAAAACTTGTGGCTGTGATCTCCAAACATGAGCATAGCAGGGAAGGATCAGAACGAAGTTTTGTGATCAAGTACAGGACATAGAGTAGGGTATAATGTAGGGAGAAGTCTAGACTATCATTCAATTCCAGAATGCAGCCCACGCCTTTTAATTCAACCCAAAATTCCAAGCTGATGCCTGGTACAAATTGATGTAGAAGAGGTTGCGAATGTCACATTGCAACTCATACAAGGACAGGGGCCCTCTTCAAATTGAGCAACACCCTAGGCAATATATCCTGCTCAGACCTTTTACATAATACCATCATATCCGTTCCCATTTTATGAACTTTGAGAGTTTGAGATGACCAACCTCATCTAAACTCCAACATTATTATTATTATTATTATTTTTTGAAAAAAAAAAAAATAAAAAAAAAATAAATAAATAAATAAAAAACTGTAGTAAACATTTAGCATTATACCGAGAAAAATTTGAGCATCTAAACAAACATTTGCAGCACTCCAAATCCCAACAGGAGTACAGGACTGCTTAGAAATATCTGTAAGACACATTGCAGACTTAATCTTTGATAAAGTACACCAAACTTAATGCACTATGAAAGTCAAACAAAAAGGCTAAACTCTCACGTGGAGCTAACTTGCTTGCCTTTCTTACAAGTGCAAACACCATAAAAAAAATTAACAATGTGAGAAAGATAAAAAAAAAACTAGAAAATAAACTGCTTATCCTCTTTATATGATGGAGAATAATTTGACAAATGACCGACATGATTTCCTGTAACACAAGACTTGGATGGAGAAACTCGAATGCAAGAAACGTGATGCAGCTGATGCCAGATGAATAGTATAAGCATATGAAACAACTATTAATGAAAAATGTAAGACTCATGATACCAAGATATACAGTTTGACAAAGAATAAGTTAAATCACAATGCTAAACTAAAGCTAGAGTTATCACTCAATGCTAAACTACATAAACAATAGAAGCTAAGGTTGCATTACTAATTTTAAAAAGCGACTTAATTAATCGAAAGAAGGAACCGAAAAACAAGATTTTTCAAAAAGATTTACTTCCATTGTTCCCAATAAACAGAATAAAGGAGTTGACTACCCAAATCAAACATCATCAAATTGCATTTTATACAATGAGTTCAGACTGATAACAACAATATTATAGAAACCCATTATACTTTACCTAAACTAAAGACATCCTGAAAGCAACCCAACGCAGCATTCATCTAATTCACTGCTTGAAATGAGATACTACCTCGCCTGCATTTAGTTGTCACGATACTGGTTCAAGATTACACTATCTACGTGACAATTAATTCTAGACGGTATAAAACTCCAGTTAAAACATTCAGGTCAGTGTACACAATGTTCATCCATTAAAATTAAAATTCATATGAAAATAAAGGGCAGCTCTATGTTAATTCCCAATAAAATGAATACAGTAAGAAAAATTAAAAGAACAGCAAATTACAACATCAAAAAATATATGCAACAAAATACGGAATTAATCAACGTAAAACCAAAATTAATAACCAACAAAGTATAAAATTACGAAGCGTAGTTTATCTTTCTCACCGTCGAAAGAAGTGAGAAGAGAAGTGTTGAAAAAATAACCAGATTCCGGAAAACTTACAGACTATAATCGACAATTTTAGACCTAGTTGAAGACGGCGTCGTCGCGTGGTAAAATTCCGGTGTGTCTAATTGAAAAAGCTCATAATCTTGGGTTGTACTTGGCCTGTCTGACGGTTTTGTGGCCCAATAAACATATATCCTAAATTTCTCCCTGATGTATATTCCACTTGTATTCGCTTGATTTTCAATTATGTTAACTTATCATATCAGCACTCCATTGTGAGGCTTGGACTTGTCTAGAAACAATGAAATGGGCTCGAGCAAAAGATAAGCATGGATGCTTATCCTCTCCGATTCGATTTCTCTCCTTAACAATCTATAAGACAGTTTAGGTAAGGACGTTTCGATCTCTTGGATGATAAAGAAAATAAGGGAAGTGGACGCTTTGTTTCAAAAATGCGCAATTTTAAAGGTCCAAAGAGACCAACTTCAAAGGGAAAACGACATTACAAAGAAATGCCGATTTACTCTTTCTAATTACGTGTAGTCTGAACTTAGATCTGAAAAAAGTGAAATAAGGTGAATATAACAGGCCACAAACTTTTTATTTTTATTCCCTTACGTTTGCATTTGGAAATAATACCCTATGACATCTACAATTATATGGAGTTTTTGTATCGTGTATAACTATTTAAAGTTTAAACACTTTATTTGAAAGAGATGAGAGATAACTTACCTAAGTAGCAAGATGATGAAGGTGTTTGGTAAAGAGCTTATTGAGGCAATAGCTTGTTTGACCATTGTCAGCTGATTGCGTATTACAACAAACTAATAGGGGTGTTTGGTGGTGAGCTAAATAAAAGAGGTTATTCCACCAAATAAGCTCATTTGAATAAGCTGCTTGGATAAGTTTTTTCACTAGCTTATTCAAATACTTTATTGCAAAATAACTATTATACCCTGATTCAACCCAAAAACCCATCACAATCAAATATGTCAATATTGATGTACTACCTTTGTTTTTTTTTTTTTTTATAGTTGACACGTTTTGACTTTAGCACTATTCACACATTTCCCTTCGACCGTGTCTTGTGATTTATACATAATGAAAAATATAGTGATGTGGGGTCTTGTTAGAATTCATCAAGGCATATATTTTCAAAATATCAACTTTTTATAACTTTTGCTTATCAATAATTAAAGATATTAACGGTTGAATTTGTGCATTGGCAAACATGACTAAAGAAACGTGTCAATTAAAAAGAAACGTAGGAAGTATTTATTAAACATTTTATATAATAGGCTAATACAATCAATTGATCAAATCAATTATACTATAAGACACTCAAAATCAGCTAACACGATCAGTTTTAACTTTTCACCAAACAAGTCCCTTTTTTTTTTTTTTGGTTTTTTTTAATTAAAACCGATAAATTTTTACTTTTTACCTCACCATTTCTAAAAAAAAAAAGACACAAAAAGCCCAAGCCTTGAAGCCCCAAAAGAACCCAAAACTTGTCGATCAAGCCAACCCATGTCAAAAAGCAGGCAACCCCACCCACCAACCGACCCACCCGAATACAAATTTCAGTTCCTATCCAAAAATTTGGAGATTCGAATTTCATAATTTCTCCCACCCTATATATTTTGGAGCCAAACAGCCCCTAAAACCCTCGCGCCCCAATTATTCTAATTACCCGTATTAATAAACCTTATTAATTCCTAAATTAACCAATTCGTATAAAACCCCCTAAATAAAATATAACACTCGTTTGTTTCTCCTGCTTCCCATTTTATCCGCCTCAACCACTCAGATCCTTCCTCTCTATCTCTCTCTTTCTTTCTTTCCCTGTTTTTCTTTCACAGTTTTCTTTCTCTCTCCTCCAATTCACTTTTCCGGTATTCTAATTCTAAATTCATCCTCAGTTTCTACAATTTCATCCTTTCAATTTTATTTGATTTACTTTTTTTCTAATCAATTATTTCATCTAATTTCCCCCTTAATTTCTTAATTATCCGATTTTATTGGAAAGTTTCAGAATTCAATTGCATGTTTTTGGTTGGTTTTTGGTGGTTTGATTTGGTGATTTCAATTAGGGTTTCTCTTTGGAATTAAACGTTTTTCCGCAGTATTTGAGCAATTGGAAAAGTGTGGATTGTTGTTGAAGAAATTGTTGAAAATATTAACGAATTTGGGATTTTCCGAGGTTTTTGGTGGGAGAAATTAGGGTTTTGGAGTTGAATCTTAATTTAATTTGAATTTCGATGAGTTTTGAGGAGAGATGATTGTTAAACAGCTATCAAATTCGGAAATGCCAGATCTGAAACGATGTGATTTTGACGATTCTGCAGTTTTAGAAGATGATTATAGCGTTTCTGTGCCTCCTAAGAAGCGAAAAATTGCTGCACATAGTTATTCTTCGAATAATGGGGTAGCTCAGTTTGAGAATGATGCACCAATGAGCTCATCTTTTACCGAGGGTTCATCACTTGGTGAAGAAACTGAGTCTGATTTAAGGTATAGCAAAGTGTACTCTCGAAAAACGTCGAGAGGGCGAGTTCCGGTATTGCCTTCGAGGTTTAATGACTCTGTTGTTGGATCAAAGAAGGATAGTAAGTCTAAATTTGCTGATATTGAGTCAGGTTTGCACGAAATTTATTTGAAAAGACGAGATAATAAGAAGAATAAACCCGAAGGCTCGAATTTCAGTACATATTTGGTTAAAAAAGAGTTCAAAGAGGAGAAATTAAACTTGCCAAGTTATAAGTATCATCCCTATTTCCAGGACACTGAAGAAGATGGGATGATGGATGATTTTGTGTACAGTAAACCTTCAATAAATATGTGGAATTCGTCGTCGTTTGTATCGAATAATGAGTATATTCCCGTGGCTCGACCACTTTCAAGTGAGAAGGGTGCAGGGAGAGGGTCGAGGGTGAAGTCGAAACAGAAGAAAGTGGCATATGGACCTGAGGACTTTGCTTTGGGTGATATAGTGTGGGCAAAATCAGGGAAGAGGTATCCTGCATGGCCTGCTATTGTAATTGATCCAATGTTGCAAGCACCGGAGACGGTTTTGAGTTCGTGTATTCCAGGTGCTACTTGTGTCATGTACTTTGGTTATTCCAAGAATGGGAAACAAAGGGTGAGCTTCTCCTATTCTTTGATCATGAGAACTGAAATATGCATTTCTGTAATTCTCTTGTTTCGAATCATTGCATAGATGAATGATTGAATACCTTTTGAAACCCTTGTTGATTGTTGATGATGAGCAGGATTATTCATGGGTTAAAGGAGGAATGATCTTCCCATTTATCGATTACCTAGACAAGTAAGCTTTTTTTGACCTTGTTCATGTTGATACTTAATATGCCATGTTTATTGGACTGTTTGGGCTCAACTGATGTTTTGTAAATTCATGATACAAGTTGTATGTTGTGTTTTATGTTCAGTCGTAGGGCACATTGGCTTAGTGTGTAGTCACAAACCCAACTTGGTGTGCATTAATTTGCATTTGATCTGTTTAGAGGTTATTATAAATTTAAAATGACTTTGGAAGGTGGTAAAAGTTTAAATTACACAATGATTATAATGGCATTAAATTAAGGATATTGAAGACTTCTATTTGACTTGAACAACAAGATTCAATGTGATTTTCATGGTATATATCCAGATTTCAGGGGCAGACTGATTTGCATAAGTGCAAGCCGAGTGATTTCAGAATGGCCATTGAGGAGGCCCTTTTGGCCGAGCAAGGGTTTACAGACGAGCAGTTAGGAATGGTAAAACCATCTCTTTATGATGCCAATCCTCAGGGCTTTCACGAGACTACTGGTTCCAACCAGTTGCAAGAATGCCTTTCTCAACACCAGGCATGTTCTTCTCAACACCCTCTTTTGCTCAATTTTGAAACAAGATTTAGTTTTGAGAAAGAGTGAATGTTGACGTGGTTGTTTATGTAGCACATAGTTTGCGTTCTGACAAGTCTTTGCTGCCAAGTTATTCGTTAAATACATCCTAAAGTATAGTTTCCATGAAATATATGCATAGTACTTGTTAAATAAGTCTGTTGACAGCTAGTATAGAATTTGTACAGGCTGCATTGCGTGCAAGGCTGTCAAAGATTATGTCCATTTTTATTTGTTGATTCCTATTTTGCTTATACTTTCTGCTATGCTGCATTGTGCATTTTGATACATGAAAATTTGTAAGTTGGATGTGTTCTCATGTCTTCTAATCACCTTTTTCCTAATGAAAGAGCAGTGTTTGATGCTCATGAATTTTTTTTTGCAATCTTGCTTAATATGCTTAGTTATGCTTTCCCTTTTTTTTATTTTATTTTTATTTATTTTTTTAAAAATTGTTGTTCAGGATATTCATGACAAGAAGAGAGATAAGCGCCCTTGCAGTGGATGTGGGTTGGTTCTTTCGTACAAATCCTTTGTCTCTCATGAAGGGCGGCCGTTGTGCAAACATTGTGTCAAGGTTTAATTTTGGAACTGGGCCTTTTTGCTTCATTGAAAATGTTATATTTTTTAAAGATTGTTATTTTTATGCTGTTAAATATTAAAGCCTGTAATTGATTCTTAGAGCGAGCTAACATACTTTTAATCTTTTATGGTGCAGTTACTGAAGTCAAAGCAGTATTGTGGTGTGTGCAAGAAAATCTGGCACCACTCTGATGGTGGAAGCTGGGTGAGGCTCTGCAATTCTGATTAGACACATGATGCTTGCCTATTCCCCCCTTTGATTATTTGCAATTGATATGGCACTAAGCTTTGTTTCTCGCATAGGTTTGCTGTGATGGCTGTGATGTTTGGGTGCATGCTGAGTGTGCTGAAATCTGTGGCAAAAATCTCAAGGTTGGTTCCCTCTTTGTTTTTGTTGTATTGACAGGACCTGGTGCTTGTAAAGACTTTTCTTAGAGGATTTATTTGTACATTCTGTTTCTATCTAAGGATTTGGAAGATGCTGAATATTACTGCCCTGATTGCAAGCCAAAGTTTGCATTTGAGCCATCATACTCTGTAGCTCTACCTGAAGTCAAGCCAAAGTATGTGTTTACTTCTGTTTGTTGTTACTGTTATTTTTACTTTCATTGTTATCATCATTATTAATATTGTTATAATGAATTATTATAGATTTATAGTAAATACTTTTATTATTATTATTATTATGATTATTATTATTATTATTGTTGTTGTTGTTTCTGGCATTTATACAACCTATTTTGAGGTCATGCAATTTGGTAAGAGTTACTATTGTATGATACAGACAACCTGTGCCATCCGATGAGGTAGCTGTTGTGTGCAATGGTATGGAAGCATCATATATCCCAAGCCTTCACTTGTAAGTCCTGAAGGTTACAAAAATTATGTATTATGCTCTTTTAAATTCTTTTTGTACACTTTGTGAATAATCTGTGATACATTTGATTACCTGTGCTCTTCTTTTTAGGGTTGTGTGTAAGTGTGGTAAATGTGGGACAAGGAAGCAGTCATTAAGTGAATGGGAAAAGCACACTGGTTGTAGAGCCAAGAAATGGAAGCATAGTGTCAAAGTCAAAGGCTCAATGATCCCCTTGCATCAGTGGGTAAGGCAGTCCTTTCTGCTTTAATTTGAATATGTCAAAAAAACATTATGATTATCTTGGATTTAGCTAGCATATTCGTGTCACACAATCAGTATCACTTGCCCCTGTGTTTTATTTTTATTATATGTCTATTCGGAATTAAATTTGCACTATCTCTAGCTTTAGAGCTTGCTTTTGATTTCCTTTGATGTGTTACCAATTTTCTGATCTTTGTATGTGTGTAATTTGTTTCTGCACATTCAAGTATGCCATATTATGCATATGTCGTTGGTTTTACACAGTATGGCAGTGCATTAAGGTGATGAAGACATGCGTAGCAGTTATCTTCTGGTGTTTGGTTTACGCATTTCTAGCGCCCTCCCCCTCCCCCCCCCAAAAAAAAAAAAAAAAAAAAATCAATATTGTACTTGTATCTGTTCTGTTTACCAGAGCTTCAAAGTTTGTCAAGTTTAGTGAATTTTAGTCTACTCAAACTAAAGCAAATGATTTGGATGTCACGTGCGTTTATGGAACAGACTGTCCTTGTTTCTTTATTTTATAATCTGTTGGATTATCTTATATAATCTTCCTAGCTAGAGCAGTTGTCGTATCATACCGTTTCTATTCAGATATCACTATGTTGTTGGGGTAGAATATGTTGAATGTATGTTGTACTTTTATTCTATTGGAGGCAAAATTTTCAGGATTTTTTCTTTCTCATTGTACATTTTTATCCTTAAGATTGTGTGTGCATGTGATAAGGCTGTGGCATTAGTGTTTCTTTGCATTTTTACTGAAGAACCAAAGAACCATAAAAGATGCTGTATTAGCAGAGGGTTATCTTTTCTTCAAAGGGTCATCACTTGTTTAAGGTTGCACTGCAGTAACACTGGTACCTGTTCTTTCCCCAGCTCACAGATTTTGGAGCAAGTGCGTGTGATAATCAGAAGCTGGATCGGTCAAAGCTATTTGGCTTGTTGAAAGGTGAGGCTCTTACTTTGACTAGGAAATTTTCTTAACAAACATATGCATTGATTTCATATTACGGCATTATGCCTCATTGCTTCTATGACACTATCTGCTCTTCAATGAGGCTTATGTGCTGTTCTTTTGCGTAGAAATATATGAACCAGTATATGCGAAATGGACAACTGAACGATGTGCTGTATGTCGCTGGGTTGAAGACTGGGACTACAATAAAATAATCATTTGCAACAGGTGGGTGTTATATTTATATCCTACATAGGTTACATATGATCTTGCTGCTCAATTTCTTGTATAGCTATTAAAATGTAATATTTCCCACTGTTGGTCAGGTGTCAAATAGCTGTTCATCAAGAATGTTATGGAGCCAGAAATGTTCAAGATTTCACATCGTGGGTCTGCAGAGCTTGTGAAATTCCTGATGTGAAGAGGGAGTGTTGCCTTTGTCCTGTTAAAGGTATGCATTTTATTTATGGAACATTATAAGTGAAGAAAGAAGTATCTGCTCATGAATATCATTGACTTAGAGAAGGCTCATGACAAGGTGCCCAAAGATGTGCTTTGTTGGATAATGTCGAGATGGGGAAATCCTTTTAAATATTCTTAGTTAGCAATATAGATGTGAAAACCAATATACAGGTATTTGGAGGGATAATGAAGGAGTTCCCTATCATGATTGGTTTACAATAGGGATCTGCATCGAGTCCTTAAATTCCTTTTTTATTCCTAAAATATTAGATGAATTAACTTGGTCAAACCAAGCCGAGATACTATTTTGTATGTTGTTTGCAGTCTTGCAGATGATATTATATTGATTGTCCCAGTGGACGAATTTACAGGTGGGGTTAATTAGAGTGTTGAGGCAAAATTAAGAATTTTGAGGGCTTAGTTTAAGTCAGAACAAAGCTAACTACATTCATGGAGTGCTTGTTTAGTACCAAGACAAAGTCAAACGAGGATGTAGGAACATTGGATGGTAAGGAGTTGCCTAAGAATAAGTGTTTCATCACCTTGGATTGATTGTACAAAAGTAGGGTGATGTTTGATTTTAAGTGTGACTCAGGTGCCATAGCTGGGGACAACAACTAGGTGATGTGTGATTTTAAGTTAAAGGGAAAATCGTATATGGAAGTTATAAGACCAGCAGTGCTATATAGAACAGATTGTTTGGCATTTAGGATGGATTATATTAGAAAGATGAGTGTAGCAAAGATGCATATGATGAGATGGATGTGTGTGACCACCTTAAGAAATAGAATAGGAATGAAGGTATTCGTTTAAAGGTTGGAGACTTGGAGTTGGGAATAAAGAAAGGGAAACTGGTTATGTTTGTTAGGGCTTGTGAGACGTAGACTAGAAGACGCACCATCAGATATATAATCTCGGTTCATTTAGCAGACCTCATTGGCTACCTTGATGAATGCCTCTTTTTTTTCTTTCTTAAAAAACAACGCTCTTTTTTCAAACACTTGGGGCAATATTTTGAATTCTTTTGTAGGTTTTCTTATTTGGTCCTTGTGTAAATGCACATTCTGTGGTCTAGATGGAGGATATATGTATAACAGGGATTAATGTTTTGCTGATGCCTTCCTTTTATACCTTATAAAATTTGGAGGAAGTCACAACCTTCCTTTTATACCTTATAAAATTTGGAGGAAGTCACAACTTGAATTTAAGTTTTGGTCTTGAAATCTTGATGGAAGAAGTATAATAGACTGGCTAACTCATTTAAAATTGCTCAGTTAGCTACCCTTATACATACATTATTTTATACGAAAGCAATATTTTTGTTATTAGCAATATGGATAATAATGTTTTTTGGAGTCAAGAAGACTTCTTATAAAATTTTCACTTTCATCTTATTATATATGTGCATCCAATGTGCGTTTGTCCTGCTTTTCAGTGTTGTATGTGTTTTATTAAATTATTAAATTGTTGCAGAGTCCTGACACTTTAACCCCTTTTTTGGCTTTCTTTTCTATAGGAGGTGCTCTGAAGCCTACTGAAATTGACACATTATGGGTTCATGTCACATGTGCTTGGTTTCAACCTGAAGTTGCTTTCTTAGATGATGAAAATATGGAACCAGCAATGGGGATTGTGAGACTTCCTACAAATTCATTTATGAAGGTATTATTTTCTCCTATTTTTTTCCTTAACCTTCTATTATTTTTTATTTATTATATATTTGATATTATTTTTTATTAAATGATAATTATGTGTATCTAAACGCTCTTTATGTTTTGGCTTGAGGCTTTTCTATTTTTTTTTGTTTAATCGTAATAGGCAATATTGTAGATTGGTGAATTGTATGTGTCTAACTACATGCCTTTTGGTTGTTGGCAGAAATGCGTAATATGTAAGCAGATTCATGGATCTTGCATTCAGTGTTGCAAATGTGCTACCTATTATCATGCAACATGCGCAGCAAGAGCTGGATATTGCATGGAAGTAAGTTTGTATCTGTTTATTTAATGTTTGGTGAGGAATTGTGTACTAAAATATGTGGACTGAATCTATTAATTGATTTTGGAAAAGGGAACTGATGAATTGAATGATGGTTGAGTTTTTTCTCCTTCCAGTCTCTGGAGCACCGAGCACCACATTCATAAATGGAGGCTGCAGAAATTTGCAAATTTATGTCATTGATAGGATTTTTTTGCAAATCAGTGATTGCATGTTGACTTTTGTGTTTCCTTAGAGATATAGTTCTCATAATATTAGTTGTTTTGGAAGAATATATTTCAGTTAATTTTTTTAAAGTCTTAACTGACAGAACTCTTTCATTGCTTGTAGTTGAAAGTTAAAATTATTTTAGGACCCCTTGATGTCTATTGCTCAAATTGTTTTCCTTGTGTTGAGAATTTTTCTTAGCCTTTCTGTAGGCTACATGCTCATGGGGCATATTGTTCAACTTGTTTTCCTTGTGTTGAGATTTCTTACCCTTTCTGAAGGCTCCAGCTCATGGGGCATCTTCTGTCATGTGACCCGAAATGGGTTTTATCCCTCCCTTTCCCCAAAATATTTCTGGTTTCCTTAATATCTGTACCACTCGTCCTTATTCTCTTTTTGATTTAATAAAATAAGGAAATTTGTTCCTAACTGAATTTTCATATAAATTCTCTCATCATGACATCAATTTCTTTCTTATTCCCACCCAGAACCCCCCCCCTCCAAGTCTTATCTGCATTTATTTAGGATTATTTTCATTTTTCTAAGACAGCAACGAAGTATAAGATACTCGTACTTTTTGAGGATTAGGGAGCAAGTAGTGTTTTTGTGATGATGGTAGCTTATTTTGAGCTTCTTGGCTTCTTGTGCAATGCTGAGTCCTGTATACTTTGCTCTGCTGATCATCCATATTGGTGGTAAGCAGCTATCTGCTGTATAGCAGAGTTTCTGTGCCAACTGCCAAGTAATTGGTTAGGCTTATATAGTTATGGACTAATTTATGAAGTTTCATTATGTGTTCCTGTACCCGTAGACTGTTTTTAGTCTGTGTATAGTGGATCAGACTCAAACAGCTTACTCCTTTGCATCCCTATGAATTTGTCTTGCAGTTACACTGTATGGAGAAGAAAGGAGTACAAGTAACAAGAAAGGCATCATACTGCGCTTTTCATAGGTAACATATGTGCTTTTTCTCTCTTCCTTTCATCTATTTAGCTAAATTAAACGATTCCTTGTATCCTATGTCACGGTGTCACCTCTAGCTTATTGATTGTATATATCTTTCTAGATTTCCTGGGGAATGAAGTTGGGTTTTTAGTCTTGATGAACAGTTGCCAGTTAACAAACAATATAATTTGTTTTTTGTATTTTTAAAGGGGAGGGTTGAATGGTTTTTAGGCTTTTAAGTAATTGATAATTTTCAAATATATAAGCAATTGTCTTGTTTACTGTTTATATGTCATTTTTTTTATAGTTGGGGTTGCTAGCTGTCGCTTACCATTGATATGCTCCTCTATTACTACGAGCATATGTTATATCTATTTTTTCTGGTCAATCATTCTTAAACCAAATAACTACACTGGCCAGAAATTCAGTTCCATTTTCTTAAATATCGATTGTAGGACACAATGGTCGATGTGTTCGCATTAATGTTATATGGGATGTGGAGAAGTTTGAGGCTGCTTTTGCTCTCTTTAGCAAATTTGTGACTTCTTTTCTGTTTTTCTGTCTCTAGTCTCTGCGTGAATCTTTTGCCTGATGGTTTACTGGGGATTTCTTTTCCATTTTACTGTCTCAACTTATTGGGTGAAGCATTTTGTTTAGAGGGTGTTGGTAAATATTTGTTTATAGCAAGCATACCGTTTCTGAAATTCTTGCTCTGCTGACTTGCAAAAAGGTTACAAGATCAAATGAGTGTCATAGAGCATAGTGAAGCAATATCCCCAATAATCTCCTCATTTTCTATAGCACTTTCTTTCTTCTCAGAGTCTATCTTGGATCTACATACATTTTAGGGACTTGGGGTCTGTTTGAAACTTGGAAATGTGAATAAAAAGGTTTCAGGGTGCTATACTGTTATAGAAAATATTTTTTGATTGTTTGAAGTTTTATTTGCATATAGTATTAATTTTGTCATTTCAGGCTTGTCTTCTCTCTCTTTGTTCCTATATATATATGTATATACAAAATATTTTACTGCCAGCAGTTGTCCTTGGGAAATTTTATGTTGGAAACATTCTGTATGCCTGTATGGGATCGCATATTCACATATGCCTCCGTCATCCTTCCCTCTCAACCCCAATCTTTGATTGACCCAAACTGGCATATAACTGAAAAACTTCAGTGTTATTACTGTGCTGACTTGTTGGGTTTATCATTCAGGAACCCTAATCCAGATGCTGTCCTAGAAGTGCAAACACCAGAAAGGCCTTATTTTTCTTCCAGAATGTTGCTTCAAGACCAGAATCAAGGGAGAAACTTCAAAGGTTCAAGGCTCATTTCTAAAAGAGTTGAACTTCCTGACCCATTGCCTTCAAACTCAGAGCAATTTGATCCCTTGTCTTCTGCAAGATGCCGGATATATTCGTGGTCCAAAAATAAGGTATTCTTGTCTTGCTTGTTGTATTTCCTGGTATATTGGTTTGTTTGTCACTGGTTCAAGTATATTAATTGTGGCTTTTCTACAGTACTACTGCATATGTTACAGTCACAGAGGTCACCTCTATCATTATCATATGTGCTCGCGCTTGGTCATTTTATCATATTATCATTTTTTTTTTTTTGCTTTCCAGAAAGCAGGTGAAGAGCCAATATTCCATCGGTTAATGGGGCCAATTCATCATGATATAACTAAGATTGACAGTTTGAATTCTTTCAAGGTAATTTTATGCTCTCTGCTGGCCCATGGTTATTGTACATATTTTCACTAAAGTATTGTGTTTTAAGGAAATTTTTCGTTTTACATAACTAGCTTGATGAAATTCTATTTTTTTTTTAAATATGCTCTACAGGAGGGTAACAATTCAAAACAGTTCTCTTCTTTCAAGGAGCGCCTTCGTCAATTGCAGGCAAGCTTCTCTTCTCTACCTTTTATTGCTAGCGCTTATGTTTGGATGTCTTAATGATAATTTCAATGGAACAGAGTACAGAGAATCAGCGGGTTTGTTTTGGCAAATCTGGAATTCATGGATGGGGCCTTTTTGCACGTCGGAGTATTCAAGAAGGAGAAATGGTATTGTGATAATGATTATCATATATTCTCATGTACTTCTTTTCTTAATTTTAGAACCCCTCTATTACTGTATTGTCTGGAACAATATTGGGGAATAATGATGGATATGACTGGGACATAATTTGGCAGACCTAGACCTATGCGTGGGCTTCTTTTTATTTATATTTTTTATGTTTACCACTCTGCATTAAAAGTTTTCATTTCAATGAGTACAAATCCAGAAATATAGTCACCCTCAATTTGCGAATGAAGATAAATATATGTGGAATTTTGCTGGAGGTGTTAAATGGGTCAGTTTGGGTTAGGTTAGTTCAGGGGTCATGTATGGGTTAGGAACTGAGAATTTACATGGTTCGGGTTGGTCAACAGCTTAGGTCATTTTCGGGTCTATTGTCAATTAGCTTGTTATGAAAATAGATCAATTCCAATTAATCTTTGGATTGGGTCACATATGGTGTTGGTGTCAAGTTCAGATAAACACAAACTGATTATAGTATTATAAAATTGAGATTGGAAATGACTGGAATTAGGTAGGGCTATTGATGGAAAACATGAGATGGAGAAAGCAAATGGGGAGCTAGTAAGAGGGGGGTTATATGAAATTTGTGTAATTTGGTTGTGCTAGTTCAAAGGGGATGGGTCATGGCCATGGCTGCTAGTCTATGGCTTTCTTCACATAAAATATTCGATTTCTGACTTGGAGTCAATTTATCTTTTACTTGATTAATGGCCAGACTGCCCTGGGGTCAGGCTTTGATGAGCCAAAAAATAGGCTGGGTCCTGAGGTGCTGGTCTGAACTGTCCGGTTGGCCTTCTTTTAATTTTTATTTCTTCATACTGGAGATTTGGACTGTTGAGGAGAAGGATTTTTATGTTATTTGTATAAGATGAAGTTTTTAAAGTGTTGGCTGATTGAGAAACTTGTTTTTCAGGTCCTTGAGTATCGCGGTGAACAGGTGAGGCGCAGTGTTGCTGACTTAAGAGAGGCACAATATCGCCTAAGTGGAAAAGATTGTTATGTAAGTGAAAGGCGTTTATCAGTTTTTCTTGCTCTTGCTGTTTGATACATGCCTATTGGTAACGTGTACTCAAATATTAGCCGTATCACAGTGCTTAGCTTATTGTTCAAATGTTAGCTGTTTGATACATGTCTATTGGTAACGTGTACTCAAATATTAGCCGTGTCACATAAGCCAATGTGTGGAATCAGCATAGGGGCTTTATCTGTTGCCTTCTCCTCGGCTGTATATAGCAAATGAGCCTGTAAAGAGATACTTTTTGCTTTTAGTTCATGCAAAGATTAAGTGAATAGAAAAGAGTGCGACATGCCTTTTGCAACAATGTTTGTGAATTACCTGTTTTTTACCTTTTGGGACCTCTGGTTATGGCATTTAGAAAAGGCAGAAAGCTGTGTGCTATTGAAGGGCTTAAAGAGTGGCATGTTTGTATCTGTTTCACTATTTGCCATAAAAATATTCTGGTACAGTTGTTGAATCGCCTGAATGATTCTGTTGAGTTTGTTATACTCTTTAAATTACTGGTTGCTTTGGTCTACAAATGAGTATTATACCTCTTACTGTAGAATACCATGCAACATTTCTGGCCAAACATCAGTTAACAATCAATTTCAAATTCTGTGCATTAATTTTCAATTGTATGTATTTTGTAATGGTTGGAGTAGTAATTTTCTTTTGTTTTTGCAGCTGTTTAAGATCAGTGAGGATGTAGTAATTGATGCTACGAATAAGGGAAACATTGCTCGCCTAATCAACCATTCTGTAAGTTCTTGCCTTTTACTTTGACTATCCTGTTGTAGTTATGCAGCATTTCATGTTATGATTTTTGCTGATCCATATGTTTATGGAATTGGAATATAATGTTCCTATGTTTGATTTGAAGGTTGCTCACACTGTTTCAGGTATTGAATGTGATAATCTTTTGAGTAACAATAACATGCATACATTATTGAACGCGGTTTTGAATTTGAAATAAATCTGAACTGTCATTTATTGTTTGTGGCTGGCTCTACTTGAAAACTCAGTCAAAACAGTTGCCAAACATATGTCCCTTTTTGTACGGAGCTGTGTGATTCTTCATGATTAATTGATTGCCCCTTCATCCCTTTATTAGAATATTTGTATAATCATGAATTACACAATATATTTAACCTGATGAGATCATTTTGTTTTTCACAGTGCATGCCCAACTGCTATGCTAGGATTATGAGCGTGGGTAATCAGGAAAGCCGAATTGTGCTTATTGCCAAGATTAATGTCTCTGCTGGTGATGAGCTCACGTATGCAGTTTTTCTCGCTTTCACTTGTTTTGATTGTTTATTTTTGCCTTGTTACTTTCTACGGAGTACTGTTTTGAGAAACTATGAGTAGAGTCCTCATTTAATAGGCTTCTTTACTTTTGCAGTTATGATTACTTGTTTGATCCTGATGAGCGTGATGAGTCAAAAGTCCCTTGTCTTTGCAGAGCTCCTAACTGCCGCAAATTCATGAATTAAACCCAATATTTTTGCCATTTACAAGCTTAGAAGAAATAGCAGAAGTTTTACAGGCATAGATAGAGTTAAATGAACTGACACATGTGCCAACTTATGGAAGAACCGTCGCTACTAAAGTTGTAACGAAGAAGTTTGCTCCATCACCCTTCCTCTTCATCTCTTGTGAGTTGTGACAATACTATTGTAAATTTACCAACTTGGTCCAGCTATTGCTGGTGATGATTTTGTATACGAGTTCATTTTTCGAATGTAAATATAGAATTATTATTATTTTTTATAAGTAATATTCTTTTGTAATTTGCCAGACTCGTATCATATCTTGTATAAATGCAGTAAGCCAGTAATTGTACCTGAATTAATTTTGCCAGTCTAATATCATATCTAGTATAGATTTCCTTATACTCTGTTTTGCTTTATTTTCCTATTCCCTTTTTTTGGGGGGTAATCCAAAACCATTTGATCTTAACATCAATGAATTGATGAAATGTGAAATGTGCAAGGATAGTTTGCAGCTGTACAAGGATAATACTTCCGAGTTCTGAGAGGGCATCTGCTTATTTTGGGTATGTAAAATGTGAAATTACTACCCATTTTCAAATTGATTACCGAAAATGAAATACACATTGATTCATGTACCATATTTGTCTTTCAGATTAGATATTACGAAGTAGATCTTTCGAATATTGGAACAGTTTTGGACAACCTTACATTATATAAATGGTGATTACAAATTACTCAATCTCGAGCGTTTTTATTCCAAAGACATTCTTACCTAAGCACCCCGTGGACTCATGCAGTATATCCTATACATCATTAAATCATTAATACTGTATCAAAATTGAACATATTGCCCGATGCCCAAAAAAGGGAGGACAAAAATAGAGAAAAACAAAACGAAAAAAAAAAAAAGAAACGGCGTCGTTTTTGGTATATATGCATGGCAAATTGGCAATGTGCTAAGGATCCCACTTCCGTTTAAACAAATTCAAAAAATACGAGACTTCTCTCACTCCCGCGTCTTTCTGTATAAATACATAGTTCCTTCTCAAACTTTTCACAATTCAATCACATTCATTTCATTTCAAATTTTTCTCTCTCATCAAACACTGCAAATCGCACTGCAATTCTCTAGAAAATGGGGAAACGATTGAAGAGAACTCTGCCTTTCTGCTCCTGCAGCTCTCCTCGCCTCTATTCCTTTTTCTCTCTTCGCGCTTCTTTCGCCTGGTATCTCTCTTCACATTTGCATTTCTCTGTAATAATTTTTGTAAATTTTGAGCTTCTAATTGGTAAAAATTATTCTGATTTTCAAAATTTGAAGATTGAACGCAGATTTACGAAAAACTGTTTAGTTTTTGCGTTGAATTTGAATAACAAGGAGCTGGATTTTGCGATGGCAAAATGAGTAGAACTCTTATAATTGCGTTTATTTGTATGATTTTTGGTGATTTTGAGCTTTTAATCGTTGATAATTGTTGTGATTTTGATGATTTGAAGAACAAGCTCAATTTGCGATGATCGGAGAAGTTTAGCGTTAACTTTGAAAATCAATGAGCTGGATTTACGATGAAATTATTTTTGTAGAAAATCGGCTTATTATTGCGTTTTTCTGTATAATTTTGAGCTTCTAATCTACAAATGAAACCTCTAATTTGAAGTTTGAGCTGGAATTAGCAAAATTCAGTTGAGTTTAGCGATGAAATTTGAAAAATAGCAAGCTGAATAACGAGCGAGTTTTGATCAAATCAATCGTCAATGTCATGATTCTCACAATTGAAATTTTTTTTTTTCAAAATTTCAATCGATAATATCAATCTACAAAACTATGTAGTTCAAAATTCGTAAGAATCGTACTCTGTTCTAATTGAGAGAATTTGAAATCACTATCTTGTAGTTCAAGTTTTGTTCCAGAATTTTTGTGAATTGATAATACTTACTCGTATCTGAGATTTGAATTTAAAATGTAGTATTTTGAGCTTATTCATATATCTGTTTATCTAGTATGAATGTTGGTACTCTGCTTCAGAAGCTTTTGTGCGTGAATATGTGAAAATTGATTGAGTCAAATTTCAAATTCCAGTACATATTTGGAGATCATAATTCATATATTCAGCTATGTAATGTTTTATAAGGCTTATCATGTCTAAAACACTTCGAATTTACACCACATACTTATTTCTCTTTAGATTGTATGGAATATGACTAGAATTAAGTTTGATTTTACAAGGTACATAAATTTTGTTTGAGTGATGCTACTGCGATATGTCATGCACATTTTAATTTTTGATAATGATGTCGGAAGTTATTCCACTGATTTCCAAAGTAACGTGTGAATTGGCGATTTTCTTTCAGTTCAGCTAACTTAACTTCCTTATTTAGCTCTCGCAAAGAAAATGCAGTAGTTGGAATCAAATTGTGTGTAATTATGTTTGTGGAATTGAACGTTCGACAATTGTTTTTATTAGCATGATTTTGTGTTTAATATACAAGGACTGTTTTATTTGAAGTTCCTGTAATTTTGAATCATTGTTACAAGTACAAGAGAAGTTGAAATTTCTAACTAAATTTTAAATTTGTTCTCCAAGGTTTGAGGATGATGTATGGATTGAGATAGCAAAGTGCCTAGATGGAAGGTCTCTGGTGATGCTTGCCACTACCTGCAAATGGTTCTACAAGACTCTATCAGAAGAATGTGTGTGGAAATTTGCCTGCTTACGCGATCTAGCAGTTCCTGATCCAGGAGATGCGTCTTTTAAGTGGAAGAAACTATATGCATCAGCTTTTGGTGAGTGATAGTTTTCTTGAACATCTGCTTGTCTTACAGTAGAATGTAGCATACTGTCAAAATAACTGTGTTTGGTGTTGAAAGCCTCGTCTCACCTTGCAATTTTCTTGCAGATGGGAGTCACTCTTACTTGTTTCGCCAGCAGGAGAAACACATAGGTATTCCTCTAAATTCCCATCAGTATGACTCAAGTACTAAACATTGCATGTTGAAAAATCTATTAGGTAGATTATCTGGATCATGAAACAATATTTCTTTCATTGATTTGGTTTTAGTCCATGTAGAGTTGTTAATACCCTTTTAATTGATTGAAAGCTAGACTGCTGCTTATAATATTCATTGGAAAACATAGATTGGATTCGGATTGGTGCATTTTTTCTAGAATCATCAGCAGCAATTGTGACAGAGAAGCTGACTAGTCCTCCCCGAAAGATACCTCAAAAGGAGACTCTTGAACAGATGCTGCAATCTCGTGGCTTATGTGTACTCACCAATATCAAAACTGGAATCTGGATTGCTGGTACATCAAACTCTTTCCATGTCAAGTATATTGCTTCCTTAATAATGCCAATCAATTTTTCCAAATGCGCTAATCCTTAGCTTTACCCAATTTCCCAGATCTGCAGCTCGTACGTTGCCCAGTCTGTGACCTTAATACATGTGATGGTGAGCAACCCAAAAATGCTCCCATTGAACCAAAACTATAAACAAAATAGCTTCTAGTGAAGAGATGTTGATAAACGGTTTGTAACTGGAATAAATTTTGGCAATTTTCAGGGACAATGCAGACACTAGATGCAAGGCATTTTGAGCTTTTCATGAATGAGAGTTACCATGATGGAAGCTGGGATTACACACAAATCGGCTCACATGAAACCAAAAAACATGTAGATGGAGCTTCTGGTGCCATATTAGACATGAAACACCTTAAAGATGCTTCCAGTGCTGGTGAGAACATAACATGCTTCAGACTATTTTTGTTGTCTTGCATAATTGTATATTTATTGAGGCATTATATTCTTCGAAGATTAAGTAAAAGACAATATAACATTGCAGCATAAAGTATTTCTTTAAACAGCCTTTGGAATTCTTATATAATGAATTGAAGCTTGGCATCTTGCAGAGATTTTTAATCCAAAGTCATGGATCGGAAAACAGAATGACTGGCAGCCAAAGGCTAAGCTCACTCTTCATGCTGTTGCAGTCAATACAAATTTGCAACAAAATGACGGTAATAAGCCTATTCCTTTGCATGATCACTAAATCAATTCATTGTTTACTTTGTTCCTGTGATCCCCTTAAATAGCTTGACTTCTTCAGCTTGATTAATCGAAATTACAACTGCTTCCTCTTTCTGTTCTGCAGGAATTAATGTCAAATTCCATGTCATGAGAGCTGGAACTGATGGCCAAATCATGGCGATAAGAGTCTCTCAGCAGCTTCTGTAAACTCCCGCTTGGCCACGACTGGAGTACCTTGTACAATTCTTTTTGAATGCTGCTGATCACTTGGCACTTGCAGTTTTGAGGCTAATCACCACCAGCTTTACTCACCACTCATTAGTGCGTGGCGGCTTGAAAGATCATAGTCAATTTATCAGCTTCCATTAAGTATCTGGGCACCAGGTTATATATTAGTAAACTAAACAATGAAAGATAATACTCATTATAGTCATACTGTAGTGCATAGAATTTTTGGATAGCAATTGTGTTGGGCTAAGCCGGTAAGGCAAGGCAGGAAAAACTGATGGTGTATGTGCTGTAAAACTCGAGATTACTAGAATTTTTTATGAATGCTCACTTCTAAGGTGAAGTGGCCGAGCAGTTGCTCTCCTTTCATTTGCTTGCTTCATCATGCTACCATATCAGTTACATTATAGTTTAGTTCTTCATTGAATTTAATCAAAGTTGGACACTTAGATATGTCTCCTAGAGATTATGGCTTTCGGCATCAGAGTATTTGCAACTGCCAGTACAGCAGGATGATCCACCACCAAAAATTCTGTTTTCAGAATTCGAAGTGCATGGATCAGGAACATTTTTGTCAATTTTCTACAGTATTTATCTACTGAATTATCTAAGAAGAAAGTCTGACCTTATATTTGTTTATAAGCTACCTTCTAATTGTATCGCTTTCTGTTTTTTCGATGTCCTTTCGTACGAATTGTCTTAAAAGCTTATTATAATGATATAAATACATGGTCAACATGTTCTCTAATATTGAGGATCTTATAATATAGAAGGATCAGAATATATATTACTCATGCATAAGCATTTAAAAGAGCTAAGACATACAAGCTTGCACATCACCGCCATCTATATATCCATTACGCCATCACTGTATTGACTTTTACCAAAGAATTATATAAATTAATTAATATTGATTAGTTGAATACTTTCTCCTTAGCTAATTTTACTTCAATCAATATGATCCTCAAAATCCCAGAATACTTTGAAAAGTTGAAAAACCTCTCAACATTCAACCTATGGGTTTCGTGCAGTTCTTTCCTTTCCTCGTCTTCCTCCTCCTTTTCACCTTGGCACCATCGGCCTATTCCTTGTGCCCCATAACTACCTGCACTAACAACACCCTTACCCCTATCCGATTCCCTTTCCACCTCGATGAACAGAAGAACGAAAACTGCAGCTACCCCGGCTTCAACCTCCACTGCACAGACCGTGGTCACCCTGCTATAACTCTGCCTCATTCTGGAGAGTTCTTAGTCCGTAATATAAGATATGACGCACAGACCATGCTGATAGACGACCCAGATAGCTGTCTCCCACGGAGACTTTTACAAGGTTTCGACCCCTCTGGATCACCTTTCCAAGCTGATTTTTATGTCAACTATACATTCCTTAGCTGCCCAAGAAGCTTCGCAAATGCTCATTTTGCTGTAATTGACTGTCTCAGCAATTTAACAAGATCAGTCATTGCGACTTCTCTCAATGATCTTACAGATGATGTGTCTAGGTCTTGTCAGATAATTAAGACTTTGCCAGTTCCTGCTTCATTATCTGCAGATGGTGGATTCACTTCTAATCTTAGTGAAGATGTCTGGATTTCCTGGCATGTATCTGATTGCCTAGCTTGTGAGGAGCGCGGAGATGTTTGTGGGTATCAGAGCAATGACAACCAGCAAATCGGTTGCTTCAAAAGTCTCAACAATTCAGGTAAAGAGCACTCTTCCCACTTATCATCCTTTTACTTTAAATCGAAGTCTTTTCACTTTTCTTTTTTTATTTATGCACTTCCATATAAGAAAGAAGCTGCAGATAACAGGACAGCCACCATACGAACAAGATGATTCAGTTGATAACCTCTTTTACGGAACTGTTAACCTGATAAGTGAAAAAGTCGTAATGTTTTAGTTAGCTTCCGTGTTACGGTTAACTTATGGGAGGAATAATGTAATTGGTTGCTTAGGCAAAAAATCATACTGCCTGGAAAAAATGGTCCAAATCTAAGTTTCTCACTTTACAAAAGGCAAAATAACAGAAGTTGACTAAATTGGATGATTAGTTGAAGAAGGGAAGAGGTGGTTAAAATTAATAATTATTCATGGTTGGTGGATACATTATAGTGTTCCATTTGGATACTTGACTTGAAAGGAAAAGAAACCTTAAATATTTTCAAGTTGATAATTAGTCAAACCTAATGAAAGTCCAAATATCTCCAGATTTCTCATTAGTTTATCTTAAATCACATTTCTTCCGGCGATATCAGTTCCACTTCAACTTTCATTATGGTTCCCGCGCAATGCCTTCGACAGGGCTCCTCCAAGGGTGTTGCATCAGAAACAATTCACCACCGCCTCTAGAAAAATTTAACCATAAAATATGTCAAATTTTTTATTGAGTTATAGTTTGGAGAATATTATTGCTAGATAATTAGATATGTATTACAGTACTAAGCAATTGTTAATTCATCACCTATATAAGGTTCACTGTTACTAAACTAACAACCTCCGATTTCAGGTGATCCTGAGCAAACACACAACAGTAGAGGCCTCAAAATTTTCAGAATAATTGCCTTTTCAATTGCATTCCCAGCCATCGCTTGTGCAGCTGCAGTAGGACTATTCTTATGCATGATGGATCGGCGAGATAGAAGGATAGGCACAGGGGAAAACAGAGCAGTGACAGCACAGCCTTTAGACACCACAATGGGGCTTGATCAAGCTACCATTGAATCGTATGCCAAGGTGGTGCTTGGAGAAAGCCGGCGAGTTCCAGGAGTCAGTGATGGGTCGTGTCCTATATGCTTGTCAGATTTTAGCGTTAAGGAAACACTGAGATGCATACCTGATTGCCAGCATTGCTTCCATGCTGATTGCATTGATGAGTGGCTGATGATGAATGGTACTTGCCCTCTTTGCCGCACTTCGCCGGAAAAGAGATCAACCAACATAGATATAGATTAGTGTATTTTTTTTTTTTTTTTGTTTAACTGAGATGCTTCAGAATTTCAGATGATTGCGATTCCTTCCCCCACCCCCATCTTTGCAGTACTGAGCAAGTGAGCATATGATGTATCAAAAGCGTGAAAATAGCATCTTACAGTCATGTACAGTATAGTTGAGTATTGAATACATTTAATGACCTTATTTCACCAGTTCATTAAAAAAAAAAAACACTGAATTTAAAGAACAGTGAATGATCAAACTTCAAATAGAATGTCGATATGTTACGATGTGAGCATATGACAGGGGGTTGAATGCTTAAAAGTCATAATTCATACTGCACACTGGATTATGTAAGTAGAGGAACATATAGAAGTTTGACACGATTTATATTATAAAGCTCAAACATCAACACCTTGATTTACCAAGGGTGATAATCGTATACAGTTAGTACATCAAGATAAAATTACAGTGAGATTCTCAATGCAAGTAGAGCCTACGGATGCTTAATACGGAGTATATGATATCAAAACTTGTAAGAAACTAAAAACAAACTGATTATATTACAGCAGTAGCGGTCTTGCAGAACAAAGAAGGCAGACGGAGCTTTATTCACTCAAAACATATCTCATTTCTTAGCCAGCAGTTTCTTAGGAAGCTTCTCCAGAGGAGTGGTTTTCAGCAGAAAGAGCCTAGCAGCACGCTCTTGCAGAGTGCCTCCACATTTCAATCCCCGTGTCTGTAGCTCAGATTTCAACCTTTCCAATCCAAGAACCTGCAACGTAAATTAAACATATATTAGTTCAAAAACATCTACCGCCTTCTTTCAATATAGAGATTCAAGATCACCAGCTATAACTAACAATTCTAGATGCCTAGATTTCCTAAAATCTAATCAATGTAGGATGCACGTATGATGAATGGATGGATGTTGCCATAAAAAAGGAGTTAACAAATATCCTAAAAAGTCACAGAAGTTTAATGACTATCTATCCTGTAGTGACAAGTTGTGCAAGGCATCTAAATTTTTTTGTTAAATATAGAGCCAGGCTATCATGAGATCTACTAATTTATCAAAAATACGAAAGAAAAAACAATTAGAAGTCAAATTAACCTGAGATACAATGAGATGAAATTACGAAAACTAACCTCCATTTCGGCAGCTGAGTTAAAATCATCAAAGTTCAGAGGTGCCTCTACTGCATTTAAGCCCCCACTATTCCCCTCATCAGGTGAAACTCCTTTGCACTCAGATGCACCATTAAGTTCAAGACCATCTAGCTCTACCAAAGTGCTAGTACCAGGCAGCTGGTCAGTAACAGCTGTGGATCCCAAGTGAGGTTCAACAGGACCTTGTTCAACCACAGTCTTAGCAGAAGTAGAAACCACTTCTTCTGAAGCAGACATCTTTTCTCCGGACGACGTTTCCTGCGTACCACTCCCATTCACCTGCTCATTGCATCCACTTGGTTTAGCAGCAAATTCGGTCGTACCTTCAGCAATCATATCCTTCTCTTCTTCAGATCCACTTTCAGAAGAGCCTCCACTGTGATTATCCCCATCTGATGCAAGAGCTGAAACGGAAGCAGAGCTAGCATCCTTGCTTGAATCAGACTGGTTTCCGTTTTCAGTGACAACTGATTTCTCATTTTCTGCATCACTATCATCACTTTTTGCATCATCATCCGAGTCATCGCTATCACTTTCCCCCACTTTTCTCTTCCCTATCCTGAAGAGGTAAAAATAACGATGAGTTTAACTCAGCCGGATTCTAAATTTCACAATAACATATCAAACAAAGGAAAAGAGGAAATAAGGCAAACAATTCACATCCAAGACATCAACTTGAGGCAAAGAGCACCAAAGTCTTTTTGTCAATGAATCGACAAACTTCATTTTTCCTTATCTCAACAAACAGTGAAAACTGCACTCAAAGCCATATAAAAATACTGCAGACCCAAGCTAACCTATATAGAAAACTCAAGGCATTCAACTGACAACAACGAAGTACTAGGTTCTCCATACTCCATACAAAACAAACCCGGTCATCTAAAATACACAAAGGGATCCAAAGAAGTCACATATGAAATGTTAGGATTAGTGTGGAGATGAATCAATCCAAGGAGGCATAAGGTGAATTTGCATGAGCATGGAATTTCAGCGCTAGTTCGACCAAACAAGAATAGAGTTCGGCCGAACCACCAAAGTGAGAAAAGGGGCAAACTCACTGATCTGAAGTTCGCCCGAACTCAGAGGATGTTCCCCTGAACCCTGGGTCAGTTCGGTCGAACTTGCGGGATTAGTGGGAATCCCTGTTTTGCTGTCAGATTTCTCATTTGAGCCATATGTTGTTTTTCTAGCTGTTGGATTGTTTCTCCTATTTACTTAGACTATATATACTACTCCTAATCCTCATTATTAGATATTCACAAACATTAAACACACTTTTAGGGTTTTAGAGGAGTTTTGTGAGGAGCATTTGAATACTATCCTATTCATGCTTGTAGCTCATTGTTCAATCATCATCAATACTACTCCATAGTGCAAGGTGGGTTTTTTTCTCCCGGTTCTCGGGTTTTCCCACAGTAACATCGTCTCCTTTACTTTGTTTAATTGCTTCAAGTAGTTCTTGATTGATTGCTTGCTTCATTGTGGTTGTGGGTTGATTGCAAGTGAGTTAGCACTCTAAATCCTATCATGAAATTCACTAGTACAATCACAAAAATAACAAAACATTTCTAATTGGAATTCGCTGCATGTTTCACTAAACAATCGCAGTTATACACAGATAAATAAACATTTGATCATACATTCATCCACCAAATCACTTATTATAACATCAACTACAATTACAACAAACTAGCAGAAAAACTATCAAGAATTAACCAACACCCATCAAAACCCAACAATTAAATCAGCAAGACATACAATACACATTAAAATCAATCAACCTGAAACAACAAGTTTATCAAATCAATCACACCAATTAAAACAACTTAATTTACAAAACAGAAATATTTTTCAAGAACACTCACCAAATCTTAGCTCTTTTAGCATCAGCATCTTTCAACTTCTCAAGCAATTTCCTTTTCTTATTCCCAGCACTCATCAATTCTCCCATAGATTCTCTGACAGACCTATCAACCTCTTCAACACACCTTTTAGAATCTTCTCGATACTTCTCCACATACTTCTCAGCTCCTTGTTCTTTCTTCCCTCCTTTCCCTTTCTTCACCATCTTCTTCAAATAATCATCCGCCATTTTCTCCAACTTCCTCTCCTCTTCCTCAGCTTTCCACTCCTCCAACCTCTTCTCCGCGTTCACATGCCTCAACCTCCGCCCACTCATATCTCGACACGCGTCGAAATTGTTCGTCTTCTTCTGCCCCGCCTTCGTCGCCGCCCCTCGAAGAAGGGACCCGAAACCTCCTTTCCCACCGAGGAGAGAGAAATTGAGGTAGATTGTAGAGAGAGAAAGGGATTTGGGGAAATTGGAGTTGAATTTGAGAGGAATCTTCCATTTAGGGTTAGGTTTTGGGAATCGGAGGGGATGTTAGTAAGGGATTCGATCTGGTGCCTGATTGATTGAGGTGTTAGGGTTTGATGAATTGGGAATTGAAGAGTTAGGGTTTTGTTGTCGAAAAGTTTGACGAAAAATTGGATGAAATTGAGTTCCGCCATGATTATGATTGTTGTGGTTTCTCTCTATCTCACTTCTGGGAGAACAAGATAGAGCCAAAAAGGATTGAAGCAGCTTGTACTACGTATAATTATGTATCCCGCCGATTTTAATTAACTCCGAGTATAATACTAGTTTGTGTCCGTGTCAATGAAGGAATTCAAAAATTGAAAAAATGATAAAATTAAAGAAAATTTACCAGAAAAGAAACTTTTTATAGTAACTTTTTTTGTCACACAAAACCTTATAAAATTTCTTGGCAAATTAAAATCTAATTGTAATTTTTTTTTGTTGAAAACATAAAAAAAAAAACCTCTATTTCACTTAATTACCCTCTATTTTCCTCCTCACTTAATTATTTAGCAAACACCAATTATATTTATTCCAAAATGGTCATTATGATCCGAGTCATTCTTTTGCAAGTCCTTTTCATGCTCAAATACAGTGACAACATTCACAACTGAAAACACCACTACTGACATATTTAATGAAGAATGACAAAGAGGTTGGGCACACAGTTGTGAATGAAGAGAGAACAGGGAAGCTGAATAAATCGGAGATAAGAAATTGGAGGGAAGGAGGGAAAATTGGGAAAAAGGTCATGTGCCAGATATATTGTGGTGAACGCCGTATATTATCGGTAAATTGTTAGAAAGCATATTAAGGTTTCATCTTGCAATTTTTAAAAGGTCCCATGCTAATATTTCTTAAAAATAATGACAAAAATATCTAAACGCAAAGAATTTCAAACGTAAAATACTAATTAAAATTCATATTAAAACAAGCTGCAACTAGAGAAAAGCATTGATATGACTTATAGGCGTCTGACATTCACACATCGTAATTTCTTTTATGCGTATATCTCACGATACCTTTTTCTATTCTTTTTATTGTTTGGCACAATTTGCTAAGCGAATTCGCTTAGCTAAGCAAATTAGCTTTACCTAGCTAATTGTCTAATGTTGTCCAAACGGTTAGGCTAATTGTTTATTAATTTGGTAAATTGCAAGCAAGTCCTAAATTTTCGTCGTTGGAGTTGCTCTAATTGCCTGATATTGTCCCAACGGTTAGGCTAATTGCTTACCGTATTAGTTTTGTAAATTGCAAGCAAGTTTTAAATTTACACCGTTGAAGTTGCTCTAATTAGAGAAAATAAAAAAATTGTCATGTTAGGAAAGTCTAATCTCGAAGTTATGTGGTTCATCCGTTTCACTAAAATTGCAAGACTTTTTTTTTTTTTTTTTTTTTTTTTTTTTTTTTTTTACGGGAAAATTGCAAGGCTTTTAAAATTGGAAGACTTACCTAATTTTAGTCTAGTAAAATACTCCGTACAAGTAATTACAACAATTAACCTTTCACGCATTAAGCAATCCGACTATCTGAGAACGTACAGTTTTGGAATCTGAGTTGAAAATTTTCTCCGCAAAAAATGGAAGTATAAACTCCTCCTTCAATCTGAGTGCGTAGAGTTCAGAAATAATTGATTCTTCCCCAATTCTTTGTTATCTGACATAATCAAGCAGTACAACCCTAAATCCTCTCAATTTTGATCAGATGAAGGAGGAGCCAGGTAGTAATAATAAAGGGAGGAGCTTTGAGGCTGACCCCAATCTTCCTAAATGGGTTTGCCAGAATTGTCATCATTCTCTCTCCATCGTCGGCGTCGTCGATTCTTTCGGTTAGGGTTTCTTTCCTTTTTTGGGTTTTTGTTGATTTAATTTTTGTTTGTGATTGCGGAATTATGAATTTGTTCTCAATTTTTGCTATTTCTAGCTGTTTGTTTATGCAATTGGCTTGATTAGTTGTTGTTAGTGAACAAGGTTCGTGATTTGTGATATAATTTGAATTGTGACATAATTTGAAATGTTACCTTAGGAATTATGTGGGAAATTGTTAGGTTTGAAGTACCTTATGAATTGTGATTGCGGAATTCTGAAATTGTTTTCTATCTTTTGCTATTTCTAGCTGTTTGTATATGCAATTGGCTTTATTAGTTGTTAGTGAACAAGGTTCGTGAGTTGTGATATAATTCGAATTGTTACCTTAGGAATTATGTGGGAAATTGTTAGGTTTTAGGGGTTTTGCCCCTTTTTTCATATAGGATTAATCTGAACAATTTTGGAAGGGGAGCATGGGATGGGATTGAATTTTCAATCTGGGGTTTTGTTCAGTAGGCTGTAATTCGTTTATCGTGGCAGTATGTGATGTTTAAGACAACTTGCAGGGTTACAGGGGTCATCAATTCAGGGGGCAGGCAGTGTATTGGCTTCCTCACAAATGGACCATTCATTTGTTGTGTTGCCAAATCAAAAGAATCAGTCGCCGGGTGCCCCTCCTCGGCCCCGTGGTGGTGGGGTCCAGCCAGAAACACCTCCTTCTGGAAAGATGATGGATGAATCATTTGTGGTTTTGCCTCCAGCACCTGCGTCTGTATACCGGAGTGAATCCCAAGCAGATGGTGGAACACATGCACAATCTGCTGAAGGCAGTACTAGTGACCAGTTAAACCCAGGGACTTCTGGGTTTCACTCAACTATAACTGTTCTCAAACGTGCTTTCGAAATTGCAACTGCACAGACCCAGGTGTGTTTAACATCTTCTACAATCATGTGGATGTATGGGGTGGGATTTTCAGGGGCTGTTTTATGTCAGGATTCCCTTCTGACCGTGGCGGTTGCTTTTAGTATGTAGGAAAGTTATCTTGTTGGAAGAAGTAAGCCATGGGTCTTGGCATTTTGAACATTCATTAGAACAATATTCTTGCTATTATTCTTTTTGTGGTCAATAAATGTTCTCTTGTTTTGCTGTCTCCTAGGTGGAGCAACCATTGTGCCTGGAGTGCATGAGGGTTTTGTCAGATAAGCTTGATAAGGAGGTTGAAGATGTCAACAAAGATATAAAAGCTTATGAAGACTCTCTTCAGCGTTTGGAAGGTGAAGCTCGTGATGTCCTTAGTGAGGCTGACTTTCTCAAGGAAAAATTAAAGGTGCTCACCCTGCAAGATACTTTCTCACATTAGATATATTTTTCTTTCATAAGATTAAAAGTTAAAGTCAACATACAAAGAGATGCTAATCATATTAGTTTGAATTTTCTAGGAGATGTTTTCATTGATATCTAGGGTACATCTTTTCAATTTGTTGCCGATAGTTGATTCGAAATTCTTCTACCAAACTAGCCCAAATATAATTCTGAGTGTTGGTATTGCAACTAATTATCTCCCCAATGCTGGTCAAGGTTGAGGAGGAAGAAAGGAAGCTTGAAGCTGCAATTGAAGAAACAGAGAAGCAGTGCTCCAAAGTAAATGCTGAACTGAAAGAATTGGAGATGAAATCTAGCCGTTTTAAAGAGTTGGAGGAGAGGTAGCCTAATCTTAGCTAGAAAGACATCATACAATTAATGTTTATTTATTTTTATCTCCAATGAAGAGTGTATTTGTCTTTTAGTTATGTTTCACGGAACTCTTTTGTTTCAGGTATTGGCATGAGTTCAATAATTTCCAGTTTCAACTAATATCACATCAGGTATGCTGCATATGCATCTGGCCTGCTTATTTAATTATTTGTAAAAATTCCATAGATTTGTGAGCATAACTTTGAAGCATTCATTTGGAAAGGTTTGTTTCTGGCTTGTCTATATTGGTCTTATCTTTGCAATTCATGTGTTAGGTTAACCAGCATTCAGACGTTGTTGTAGTGCGTCTGAGATTTGTTGTTCCATCCTTTTACTGATTTAAGAGTGTGCAGCTCTTAGCTTGTGCCTTTTGGTTATAATCTAAATATTTTCTTGGAAATAGGAAGAAAGAGATGCTATATTGGCAAAGATTGAAGTATCACAGGCACATCTGGATTTGTTGAAGCGCACCAACGTCTTAAATGATGCTTTCCCTATATGGCATGATGGAGAATTTGGGACAGTCAATAACTTCCGACTTGGACGACTCCCTAAAGTTCCGGTATGAAATTTCAGCTTGCAGATACCTTTCTATCTAGAGCTCCTTCTGTTGCTGAATGTGTTTACCTGTTCCAGTGCATAAACTTTGGAAGTTACTAATGAATTGATGCTGGAGAACTTTTCCTGCTTTACCCCATTTTCCTTTTTTTTTTCCCTTTCTCGTGGGAGGGGGTGGGGAAGATTTTTCAGTTCCAATACTGTGTCCAAGATTTATTCAGATCAAGTTAAGAGGTACTGGCCACCTCCAATACTAACCTGAAGAGTTAACTTTGATCCCCTCGCTTATTTCATGCTCAGACTTTCCCAATTGTCAACAAGGCTGTTTTCTTTTAGATAGTATCATTATACGAAGCACGTTAATTTGTAATATTTTGCTTCTTATATTTCCATAGTACTATAATATTTTGAAGCATGGAAGTAGTGGGTTTCATCAACTATTGGAGGATGAAGTTCCAAATGGGACCTTATTAAATTGCACATAATAAATTATGTAGAGATCCAAATCGGGTCTCACTGCTAAAGTTGCTTTCATCGCGCAATGTGATTTGTGGTTATACACTATTGAATATCTATAGTTTAAAAATAGTTGTCTTGTTGCCTCAGCTTTGTGGAACTGCAGATTTGTGCTTCTTACTTTCTTAGTGCTTTTGTGTGCATAAAATTTTTGTCTTAAGTAACTCTATAGCCTTTATTTAATCTTGTCTACATATTTGTGTGAAAATGCATAATGCTTTTATGTTAAAGATACTTACATATATACCTGTCCGCATTAGGCGAGGGTTTCCATTTCCTCGTGATGAATATTTTCTTCTATATATTTGAGTAAGAATATTATTTGTGCCTATATTAGACCCATCCTTAACTTTAGTAAGCTTACCTGCATGAGTATTGACTTAGTAAAGCACATTGGCAAGTGAAGAGATTAGGGTGTTTTGATCCAGTATTTTGCTACTTTCAGGCACGTCATGTAAACATATGCTGTAAACTTTATTATTAGTACAATAACTCATTGTTTTGTTCTTTTTTAGGTTGAATGGGATGAGATAAATGCTGCTTGGGGCCAAGCTTGTCTTCTTCTCCACACAATGTGTCAATATTTTACTCCAAAATTCCAGTATCCTTTATGACTAGTTTTTTCATTAGCTGTCTGCCTGTCTGTGATATTTCCTTTAACTGTTATATTTATGTAATTTAAGACAGCAACCAGGGATGGTTTCCTTCAAAAGGAGAGATTCTGAGATTTGTTGATTCATGCTAGAAGTGTCCTAGCCATTGGGATAGTATGATATAATAGCACTTGCCCTTCTCTAGGTACTAATTGCATTAGCTAGCAACTTTGGTTGATGTATTTTAGATATTTGTGCTTAATATAAATCAGTAAAGATGAAACTAAGTGGGTAATGTCAATGGTAAGAGATGAATAGTTGTTAGATTTGCATTTTGATTGTCGTTATAGGAAATTCCAGCTGTGATTTGCATTGTGATTTTCTCTATTGCACATCCTTAGGCTAATTTTGTAGTATGCTAGTTCCAGCTACTCTCAGTGTGGACCCCCTTTTGGCATTTGCAGGATGTGACATGTCTTTAATGACCCTTTATTGATGCATTCCCACACTCACTATAAATAGTGGCGTTTTGAAAAATCCATTCAGCTAGTACAACCTTTAAAAAAGTGAATGATTTAGTACAAATCGTTTATGTGACAAATTTTTCCAGCTTGAGAGAGTAGTAGAGACTTAGAGAGGCTGTTTATGCTAGACAAATTGTAGTTCTGCCTCCTGTAATTTATAGCTGTCTTTGGTATGGCACTTTGTTTTACAACGCATTATGGGGATATAACTTTCATATTTATGGTATTATGAAGTTTAATGATGCAACAAGCATATGCTAAATCCCAAAATATAAAGAAAAAAAGTTGTGTTCAATTTTACCTGTCTTGTTAATGGGTTGTTTTTATATGGATTTGTTTTCTGCAGTGTTTCTGTTTAATTTGCACAATAGCAGTCATGTTTTCTTTAACCTTTTGATTTACAGTTACAGAATTAAAATACTTCCTATGGGAAGTTATCCTCGGATTATGGATACAAGCAACAACACTTATGACTTGTAAGCAGCAAACTACCTCTTTACTATTTCTTTGAGATTTAATACTACTCGGTATATTCAATTTTTGGCACTTGTTTCTAGCTTCCATTGTTATGTTCAGATGAATTGAAAACCAAGTTTTGTAAGTAATTTGTATATTAACAAAATTAAGTGATAATGACCAAAAGCAGTGTGTTCTCTTGATTTATCCTTATTAATATAAGGAAATTCTAATTGGTTCTTGCTGGATGTGTACAGTCCTAACATGAGAGATTAACTAGTTGAAAGGTTGTTTCCCAAAGATTTTCAGTATAGTACTGGGTGAAGAAATGGTAGGGATGAAAGAGTTGGAGTGGGGGACTAGCACTAACCTGTTTGCGCACTAGTAGATGCTGCCATAAAAACAGCTGTTTAATAGCCGGAAAAACTTGGAGGGGATTTAGTTTATATATAGATCTCATAGTTTCAACTCTTATGTTTAGTTTGTTAAAATCTAAATCTTTTTTCCCTGAATAGGTTTGGTCCCGTAAACCTGTTCTGGAGCACTCGGTATGACAAAGCGATGACACTGTTCTTAACATGCTTGAGGGACTTTTCAGAATTTGCACGGATGAAGGATCTGGAGAATAACATACCACCTGATAAGTGTTTCAAGCTCCCATATAGGTAATGATAATTTTCCGCTTGCAATATTTCAAACTAGCTTTTTTTGTGTACATGCTCCTCTTTTGTTACATACTATCATTCTATATAATTTGTAAAATCTGGAAAATTTCCACGTGAAAAGAATCTAAGCTTTGTAGGATGAGGGGTTGAGTTGGTTGATTTTTATAACCTTGGGAGTCCAGGCTAAAGAGAGGTGGAATCGTAGATTCAGACATGTAGCTTGTTGCTTGTTTCGCAAGAGGCTTGAGTTAGTGTTTATATAGTATTCATTTAGATTGCTCCTGGAACAGGAAACTTATAGATGGGTAGAAGCTGTAGAACTTTTATTCTTGTGGTCATTAGCTGATTAAACTTTTAAATGCCAAGTATCACATCCACTGTAATTGAACATTATGGTGTTATAAAGTATTCTAAATCTTTGGATGTGTTCTCTTTCTAGTTACAATGGGATTTAATCTGTGTTTGCTCACCAATGTATAAGAAGGTTGAAGGTGCACCAAGGCAATAGGGATTTCCCTGCCTTAGAGTCCAGACTCTAAAATTGTATCACCTTGACCAAGAAGGTGCATGGTACAGGTCGTGCAGTGCCTAGGCACACTTTTTTATAAACTGATGCTTACCTTCTGATGTGGCCCTTTTTACATAGTCCTATTGGCTGAGAATTTTTTTTTTTTTTTTTTTTTTTCCTTCTCATTTTGAGTTAGATTTTTAACTTCTATGTCAACTTCACAGAATTGAGAATGACAAAGTGGAAGCCTACTCAATCACACAAAGTTTTAACAAGCCAGAGAACTGGACCAAAGCTCTCAAGTATACTCTTTGCAACTTGAAATGGGCACTCTACTGGTTTGTTGGGAACACTAGCTTTCAACCTCTCTCCGCTTCCTCCCAAGCTGATGTTCCAGCTGCAGGCACTTCATACGTAAAGCGCAGTAACAATTCTAAGGCTGATTCTCGAAACCCATCTGGGCAATGATGCAGATACTTGTGATTTTCTTTTTCTTTTTTTTTTTTAGGAATTCTTGTGGGTTGTCTACATTTTGTACAGTATATTAAAATGAATCCTTAGACTAATCAGCTTCCTATGTAATTTTGTACAGCTTTTATAATCTCACATTGTATCAAATGAAAGATTTTTTTTTACTTTTTTTTTTTTTTTTTTTGGGGATCATCTTTTCTGTAACTCGCTGTGTGAATATTTATTATTAGAAGAGATGAGAAATATACAAGTATTTGGCAAATTGGCATCCTCAAGCTCTGTTTTTAACTCTGGGATCATTTAAGGACTGTACAGAGTTCTATTTGTCTTAGTGCTACTATTTTGACTAACTCGTTGCTATTCTATGTGTCAAATCTCAAATGACTTCAGTTATTTGCTGATTTGTGGGATTGACATTCAAGTTTCCTTGAGCTTGCTGCTAGTTTAATGGTTAAGATATGGTGGAAAAGAAACTGCAGTTTGATTGTTTAGTCACAGGGTTTTAATTATGTTGTGTATAATCTTATTAGTCTTCTCTATGTAGTTGTTTATATAGTTTCTGCTAAGATTTGTATTTGGAAGCGTGGTCTTATAAGTAAGGATATAGCTTCGCATTTTGTTTGCGGTAGGAAGCTATCTTTTGTAAAAAACAATGATTTAAGTATATATTTCGTCGTATTTTGTTAAAAAAAGATTGTTTAGTCACAAAATGTAAAATGCTGTATTTTTCTGCTGGAAAAAACAAGATTGTGGGCAAATGCATGACCATGATTTCTGCCATAATCAAAGTAGCATAAAGAAGCTCTCTTATCAGTGGTAAGTTTCTGCGCAGAAATTTTAGCTTCTAATCCCCAAACACGTATATTTATAGCACAATCCGGTAACCTTCACAAGCAGACACACACAACCTTCCTGCACTAGTACAATACACTATTTTCTTCTAGCTACATTACACATTTTGAGATGGCAAACAAAATTACTTGTTTTCTTGGTTACATAGCTATAATCAGCTTGCTATTAGCAAGATCAACTCTTTGTGTTCCTTCATGCGTGGATGTTGTATCAGATTCTGCCCCTTGCTTACCTTTCATTTCAAAAACCACTGATTCGCCTTCAGATTTTTGTTGCACTGGGATTAGGAATGTGGCAGGCATGGCCAAGAGCCAGTCCGACGAAGTTCAAATCTGCGACTGCTTGAAGGCGAATATGGCTGAATTTGATTATGATCCTAAACTTGTTGCTGCTCTGCCTAAGCTATGTTTGGTCAACATCACTCTCCCTCCAATCAACAATAGCACTGACTGCTCCAGGTAATGGTTCTTTATCTTCTTTCTTACTAAAACACAAATAGTATCCCTTTGCGTTTCTTACCGTTTCTATTCTCTGCAGGGTTAGTTTTGGTCATGGAATAAAGAATTAAGCTACAAAATTAAATTAGTGTTTACACTGCAGTAAGTCAGCTAAAACTTGTTCTTAAGTGTATTCTGAGTATCTTGAACACAGTTTATACTGTATGTTTCTAATTCACTGATTTTTTTATGCAGGATTTGCAAGTGTCGCTAAAAATAAGTGCTCGGTCAGTTAGGAGAGATCATCACTAATGTTAGTATGAAAATATATGAGAAGAAATAAAGCATCATTATGCTACATCGATCAAATAATGGATTTGTGTCCAATTATTCTCCGTTTTGTAGTTTCTGGATTACTGGAAACAGATGATATATTGTCTTACTTATATATTAGCGGGTTCTTATGATCTTTGCTTGCAATTCATTACTCTTAACAATTTTTGTGCTGATTATTAGCTACCTGAGACAGTTTTTGGAAGATGAAATGGAAATAATACCAGTGCATTTGAATGATAATACGAAGTAATAAAAAAATGAGGTTAACTTGTAAAAGGCCAGCAAAACATTGAAACAGACTAATGAATCATTCCAAGACAGTGCTCTTCTGTACTTGATTGATCAATTAGAAGAGAGAATTCGGGGCATTTTTACACTAGGCGTTGCAAAAACGCAAGCAGTTGAAACCTGTCAACCTTACCTGTCTTTCAGGGCTCATACTTACCTACATTGGTTGATACAAAGAAGGAAAGGACTAAAGAGACAAATGTGTTTAACCAAGCTAGAAAGTTGGCATATTTTGCTTGTCTAAGCCATGTCATGATTTTTTTGTGAGAGCAAACCCCAACCGAGGGATCGAATAAATACATTAATCAAATCATCCGTTAACATTGCAACAACCTAAGACAGATAAGTCTTAAATCAAACTATACTACTCATCTCTCATAGAAGGCAGTGAGCTAAATCATGGGCGCGACCAGAGTGGCAGAGCCCAAACAACTAAACCTGTTCATTTCAGAACTTTCATTCTGAAGTACGATTTTAACTGCAAGGTTGTGTATGGGAACATGGATTTGATTTCAGTTAAAATGCTAAAGAAAATCAGATTTAAGTAAACAGATTGGGTTACTCCTAATTAATGATCAGTTCATCACAAATACAACAAAAACCCATTCAGTTATTTACAAGTCATATTGTAAAGAATTTTCAACTTCTTATTCTCCAAATACAGTTACATCACAATATCTGTCATTATTTGTTGTTTTACCAGATCAACTATTATGATCCATTCTGAAAATCGCACAAGCATTCATGTATTTGATAAGTTTACAGTTAACACACTTGTATTGATCATTATATATAAATAAATATTCTAATAGATTACTTCATTAATTTATAAAATAAGTTTAGGAGATAATATTTTAATCATGATAATAACAAAAAAAAAATAAAAAAAACAAATAAAAATCTTTTAACTCTTAAAGTACCATGGCTATAGTACAATAGTTGTGAAGCATGAAAAGAAAAAAAAAAAAAAAACACGCGAAATTATTAGGAAAATAACTCACATGTGAGTTGAGACTAGTTGTCCCACATTAAAGAAATAAAAAAAAAGGACTAAATAAATTTGGTGGGTCACGCCACCTTATTAATTATTGATTTTAGCCTTTTAGAATAATAGGTATGCTATACTTTCGTATGCCACAAGCCCTAATGCCCCCCAAGACTCCAAGAGTGACACGCGCTAAGCCACACACTAAAACCGAAATAAAGGCCAGACTTGATCATTCAGAACCTACATGGCAACACCAATTTTTTCTTATTAGCTCTAACCAGTTGCCAAATGCATGACACAAATCATTTACCAACACGCATCGAAAACCTCTTGCCTCACAGTTATATATACCTAATGTTTGTTTCATGAAAAATTGCACTTTGTAAGTTGGACTAACATTTTGTTACAATGACAATACCAAATGTTTCGGGTGAAAACAATGGGACCTCGTCAAAGGTCCGATGAAGTGGAGAAGACTGGATTCGGTCCAAGTGATGTTGGGCCGAAGGTTTCCTGCACAGTAAACACACGTAAACTAGCCTCGGGGGTGTTGCCGAGGAAGGCCCCTCCGATGCTAAAGTCAGTACAGTGTGTAGAGAGAGAACACTATGCAAGAGAATTAATTGCTTGAGGCTTCGTTTGAATGAATGTACAAATGTAATATTGATGGCTTTTATACCTTTGCATATATGGAGAAGTTGGGCCTTAGCCCAATTGACTTGCCTTAGACTGATCTTGACTTTAGCACAATTGGGGAGTTGAACCTTGACCTTGGGCTTTTAATTGGATCATTTAATGACTAGGCCCAATTGGACTAAATTGGACCCAAACAACTTGCCCCCCAGACCCGATTTGGAAGGATGACGGGTCGGGTTTGATTTAATCAGAAAAGGAGGGAAGTGAATGATTTAATTAATCCAAAAAATTTGAATTTAAACCGTAATTAAACCGTAATTAATGAGATAACAACAGTTAAGGCGAATAATCGTGGAAGTTGGACGGATAATGGGCGGTTTAATCACAAGGTCGTGTGTTTAACGGTTACTTAGTGGGGTATTTAAGAGAAATTGAAACGCGGACTCCCAGTATTCCCATTTCTAGAGGTATAATTAGAGGTGCGTCTTCTCACCTCACTTATTCACCAACACAAACCCAGAATTCTCGAGAGAACCCAAGAACCCGCATAAAAACTTCGCAAATTCCCCGAGCATTAAGCTTAGAAATTGAGACTCGTCACTACCAATTCGTAAATCGGCAACTTTCGCTTCAGATTAAGGTAATTTCCTTTGATTTTAATTTATTTTTCTTCGAATTTGAACTCCTTCCCCTTTTTTTCGACTTTTTTCTTCGAAATTCATCAATGGTGAGAGGAGTTAGAGGTAGAGCCCGTGCTCCAAGAAGAGCAAGGCCAATTCCCGATCCAAGGAACAGGGTTGGGACCTGGAATGGACAGAGAGTAGAGCCTGACCCTGCTGAAGGGATTAGGGCGACTCCCATTTCTTCGGCTCCTCCTCAGAGAACGGAGGGGCCGAGCGCTTCTGGTCGGGACGACGAAGTTCCCGCTATCCTTTGGGACATCCTCCCCGGATTTTCAGAGTGGGAGGATGCCGAAGTAGCTTCGGCCATGATAAAGAACCGCCCCTACTCATGGTGGGTGGAGAATGCCGAACAGTATCGGTTTGCCGAACAGATTGAGTTGCACTACGGCATCCTTGAAGCTGATGGGTATTGGTGCCGAATGCCCGTGGCGTCCGATAGAATCCATCGTCCACCCCCGGGGTATGTGGGGGTGTACACAAGACAACTTCAGTATGGGCTGAGGTTCCCTTTGGACGTATTCGTCCGAGACTTGCTGATCCATTATAATATTTCCCTATGTCAGCTAACTCCCATTAGCATCCGAAGGGTGATGACATACTTATGGGTCTGCAAATTCTTCAGGTATGTGCCGAACCTGCACTGCTTCAAAAAGCTCCATCGGCTAGTGCCAAATATTCAAAGTGGGCACGGAAGTCACGGTTCTGGGTGGTACCGGATCGAGTCTCTGCCCCAGTACCTAACCATGTGGCCGAATGACTCTTCAGACAAGGACTGGAGAGGTCAATGGATTTGGGTTAGGGCACCCACGGACCTGGGCCACCCTTGCGTCTTCAGCGCTCCCAGGTATCTTGCTGAGCCTGATCCCGACATGGGAAGTTTAGGTCCCCCCGAAGATAACGGCCCAGATCCGAACCTTAATCAACAGACGATCTTCGGCAAGCTGCCGAACCGGGGGGGCAGTGGTCGAATGCAGCATAACCCGGAGACTTGGCTCCCCGATACGCATTATGTCTTCCAAGAGAACATGTTAGCAGCTGTCGGCCTCAGCCGAAAGTTTAAGGATGGTAAGCTTCTTCGGCTGGGGCCGAGGCCTTTTATTTATCTCTTTTCCTCCGTTTTCACTTCGCTCTTTTATGATGTGCCAACCTAACTGAACTGACCTTTTCCCTCTTCTTTTTCAGAGCGGGACGAGACCAACGTCGGCATTAACTACACTCGTCTTGGCGTCAACCGAGAACGAGTTGTAACTGATCAGGCCCCCTCCATCACTGAACCGAGGCATAGGGAAGTTCATCTAGACTCTTCCCATTTCCAAATTGAGGTTGTTGCTCTGTATCAGAGGCAGAAGCCTTGGTGGAAGAAGAGAGATCCCTGGTTTTAGCTGCTAGACGAAGAAGCTGAAGCTGCCCGTTCGGCCGAAGAGGTTGCACGGGTTATCGAAGCTTGTGAAGGAGGAGAAGGGTCCTCCAGGGCTGCTGAAGAAGAAGCTGCAGCTAGGGCAGCTGAAGAAGACGAGGCTTTGCTGAAGACCTCGGTGAGCTTTTAGACTTAGTTTTGTCTGTTTCTGTTTTTTTTTTTTTACTCACATTCTTCCTCCCCCCTGTCTTTTACAGTCCGAAGAGAGTAATACACATAGAGAAGGGAAAGCCCCTGTTCGTCCCGAAGACCAGATACAAGAAGAGTCTTCAGACTCAGACATGGACGAGCAGCCGCTTCAGAAAAGGCGACGAAGAATGGCCATCATCGACCCGCATGACTTTCAGCGGAGGCCGATGACCATCGGCGTCGAAATAAGGGAACCCGAGGAAGGCAATGGATCGTCGAGGGTTCCCCGGCCACCACCTCAATCACCTCCAAAGACCCCTCCGCCACCTCCCGAGATGGAGGTGGATCAGAAAACTCCCGAACCTAAGGGAGGGGTCCAAGAGGAAGTTCAAGAGAGTGCTGTTGAGCACAGAAATGTGGATGCTGTGATGCCCAGTGCTGAGGGTTTCACAGCAGACATTGCAAGAGAGGTTGAGGCTTTCGTCCTCACACCTGAAGAAGAAGAAGTCATAATAATTGACTCTTCTGAGAAGAAGGGGGATGCCGAGCCATCCAAGATTAAAGAAGCTCCATCGTCATCCTTCCCTTCCTTCCAGACGCTACAGTCTGGGGAAATGGGTTTCTCGGCCCCTCGAATTCCAATCCCAGATCACATCTGGGACCTCATATGGGGTCAGAACCGAGAAGGTGCTGCAGCCTACTTCGGCGATTTTGCTGGCATGTCCGAAGTAGATAGGGCAAGAATCTGGTCGCTGAAGGCCACTGCTGGGATGGGCGAATCCAGCAGATCAGTTCCG